CTTATTTCAGCTAAACAGCTGGTTAGCATCGCTACTTTCCACGCCTGAACCCACCTTCACCTTCCGCAGGACGACGCGGCCAGGGGCGGCAGCCACCATCCTGTGCCAATCTCCATTCAGGTTTTAGTGAATTTAACAGATTGCATTTTCTGTAACACTGTCTCTCACATACGGTGGAGTCTCTAATCCATATCCCAGTAAAAAAAAAAAAAAATCCGGGCAGTGTTAAAGATAGTTTCTCGCTTACGAGGCTGAAGAAAGGCGCGTTAACTCTTAAAGGATTGGGAATAGAGGTGTAAACGCTGCTAGCCTGCTAACCTGAGATCCCACCTAAAATAATGAACTCAAACGTTTACAAACGGAAATTTAACCCAAGCGGGGCTTCAACACTCACCCAAAACAACACAAAGCGTAAATCCAGTAAATAATATACGCTTGCGAATCGTATTTGGCCATTTGGACTCCATTATGTGGTTGTAAACAGGAGTAGTTGCTCCGCTTTTTTTTTTTTTTCCTCCACCCTCCACTGTCCTAGTGGTTTCTTCTTCTTCGCTGCGGGTACAAACAATATGGGTGCGGCTGCTGCTGCCCCCTATAGAACGACCAGACGAACTACACATAACTTCTACCAACAGACAGCAAACAAAAGGAGGATTTCATGAATAAAAGTGAGCGCTTTCTGCCTGAGGCTAACAGTATCAGCTATATTTTAAACCTTTTTCTCTTCAATGAAACCAAACTAAACTGAAGAACAGAGAGTGGTATATAAGGGTGGAGGGAGGGGCACACAGGGGAGTCAGGGGAGAATGAAGCTAGAAAAGGAAGTGAAAATTAAATAACAGAAGTTAAAGAAGGAAGAATGTTGCACAGAGTTCTGGGAAGAGTTGAGATGAACTCTGAAGAGTTATCAGATGACTGGGAAATTGTCAAGAAGGTATTTGGTGCATTGTCTGGAAAGAGGACGAAAGGGTAGAAGTCTTGGTGGTGGAACGAGGAAGTACAGAAAAGGATTCAGCAGGAGTATGAGCTAGTCAGAAATATGAAGAAAGCAAATAGAAGTTCTGGGAGGCTAGACGTACCGAAAAGGAAGGGCCGAAAGACAAGGGTGGATCAGGTGGTGTTTAATCTGATGATGTGGTGCATGTGTAATTGTGATGCTTGTAAAGCAGTGAGATGACCGTCAGCTGATAGTTATGCTGTAGTGAGGATGGCCTAGGAGCTACAGTCTGTAACTGATAATGGTGGTGTTTTTGGTGCTGTGCAGAAAGCACAGTACACTCGATGTTGTACTGAAGTCGGCAGGATCGGTGACGTGATGGAGCACAGTCTGCACACGCTGAAGCAGAAAGGGTAAAATCCTGAATCTCTAACAGCTCAAATATCTGATCTGTAATCATCTTTATAAAATCTGTCTGCAGTAGTTTGCTTAGAAGAAAAAAAACTACTACATTTTATTACAATCCCTCCTGTGATGGCGTGATGAAGTGAAGAGCTCCATCTGCTCATAAATACATACTAAAAAAAGCAATCCTTTCTCTAGGGCCTGAATGCAACATAATGCATAAAAGTATGGAGGTAAAATGAAGGAAGGCGTCTAATAGAAGATGAATGATGGCAAGATATCTAAGGAAAAAAAAATCACCTGTGTGGAAAAGATATGAAGGCACGGTATGATAACTTTAAACCTGAGCACTGGAGGATCTGCGCCTCTCCAAATACGAACCACCGTCTTATCTTTTGGCATTGTCCACACATGCTGAGTCACTGGAAACCAATATTATTAGTATACCAGTAAGAATGATTAGATTTCAGGAGAGTTGACCAGACCTGCGCAGCAGGAAGGGGCTGGGTTTGAATCCACGAGTCATTTGGGGTCTTTAAGTGTGGATTTGCATCCACCATTCTTCCTGTGTCTGAGTGAGCTCTCTCTGGGCTTCCTGCCACAGTCTAAAGACGTGCATGTCAGGTTAATTATCATGTTAGTGATAATTAATTATCATTATCATGTTAATCTCATGGTAGGTGTGAATACTTGTCTGCCTTTCTGTGTTAGCACTCCAACGGACCAGTAACGCTTCACCCTATGACAGCAGGCGATGGGACACTTTATTACTTACAGCTTGCCAAGTTAAACCTCATTTTGCTCTCATGGCTGCCTTAATTTCTTATGGCACAGATTCAACAAGGTGCCAGACACATTCCTCATCATATTGACATGATGACATCACACTTGCTGCACATCCATGACGTGAATCTTCTGTTTCACCACATCCCAGAGGTGCTCCAACAGATTGAGAGCTGATGGCTGCGGAGGCTGTTTGAATACACAAAACTCAGTGTTATGTTCAAGAAACTAGTTTAAGGTGATTTGAGCTTTGTGACACAGTACTTTGTCTTGCTGAAAGCAACTATCAGAAGAAGGGTGCACTGTGGTCGTAAAGGGATTGATTGGGTCAGATACATGCCAAATTCTGACCCATCCATCCAAATGTTGCAGCAGAAATTGAGCCTCATCAGATCATGCAATGTTAATCAAGAATCTTCTATGATCTAATTTTGGTGAGCCCGTGTGACCTGTAGTTCCAATTTCCTGTTCTTAGCGGACAGTAGTGGCACCCGGCGTGGTCTTCTGCTGCCGTAGCCCATCTGCTTCAAGATTCAGCCTGCAGAGATGCTCTTCTGCATACCACAGTTTTAACAAGTGGTTATTTGAGTTACTGTTGCCTTCCTATTAGCTTGAAGCAGTCACACTGGATGCTGGATATTTTCTCTTTCTCGAATCAGTCTCTGTAAACCCTACAAATGGTTTTGTAGCAATCCATGAAGTACTCAGACCAGCCAGTCTGTCACTTAAATCACCTTTCTTCCTCATTCTGATGCTCGGTAGGTCGTGTACATGCCTACATGCACTGACTTCCTGCCGTGGGATTGGCTGATTAAATATTTGTGCTAACTAGCACTTCAACAGGTGTACCTAACAAAGTGGACAGTATTTTATTTCAGCTTACTAAAACATTGATGATAAACGTTGTACCTACTGTAAATAACTGGGTGGATGTAACGATGTAAAACTAGATGTTTATCAAAGCTCTGATGCCAGACCTTTAAAGAATTAAGGGACTTTTCTGCCTTCTCTATTTTCATTTATTTATTTCCCATTTATTTTTCTCATATATGCAAGTATGAAATTTCACTTCCCCCTCTGGATCCACGTGGTTATGAGAGGATTTTCCGATTGTTTTCTGCAGGGAGAGACTGTGATTTAACTTAAATGAAAGTAAACTGAGATTTAATGTTTCGGGTGCAAAGCCTCGTCTCCTTTTTCTCGTTCTCCAGGAAAATAACAAGAAAATAAAAGCTCAAACTGTGCACTTGAGTCAGTTTTTAGTGGCTAATTGAGAGAAAAGTGCAAGAATAAAACCTCTGTCATCGTATATGAGTCATCACTTGTTTAGTTTGTAAAATGTTATACAGCTGCTATAAAAACTGGTTACAAAAATGACCCAAAATCCAATTTTTTAAATTAAGCATCATTAAATTTAACAGTAAAAATTCAAAATTAAAGTGCACTTTGAGTAATTATTATTTACACTAAAAACAAGGTAGCAGTAGGCAGTGAAAGCTTTTACACCAATTTCATTTAAACATTTACTTATATATCCTTTTCTTTTTTTGACATTAGATTTAATAAATAAAAGTCCAATCTGTGAGGACCAGCTGAAAACTTCAGGGAGAATCATCCCACATTAACATCATATGACACTATAATATAATAATTGTTATAGACAAGGCGTTATTTGGTCTTCATAAATAAAATTCAAACACAATAAAGCTTTCAGAGGAAATTATGTCCAGAATTCACTTTGTAAACTCAGTGCATTCATCTCTCACAGGCCTCAGCTCAGGGCTTTCCTTAACCCTCACAGACCCAACGAAACGTGAGGAAATGTTTGACATGCAGGCTGGAAAATACAAAAAAAGTCATCAATATTTCCTCAAACCAACCAAAGCTGCTTCTGCGTGCTCTGCGAGTACTCTTTCGACATCTTGACTTCTTTTACAATGGAAGAAAAGCTGTCCTGCATCATAGTTTCCATGAACGTGAAGCTTTGCGTCCAGCCTTTTCATACCAGTCCAGAACACCGCACAGCGAGCCAGCTCCGGGAAAATCATTTGCATCTTTAAGTATATATATGTGTATATATATATATATATGTGTATATATATGTGTATATATATGTGTATATATATATATATATATATATATATAGTTGAAGTTGTGCATTCATTTTCTTTGCCAGTCAAGTAAGTAAAAAGTCTCCTTTGAGTCATCTGAGAAAACCAGTTTTTCCACATTTTCAGTTTTAGCCATATTCAAGGCACAAATGCAGACTTAGACACACGTCTTCTGACTCACATGCTGCATTTTTTTTATTTTGAAAGAGGCTTGAAGATAAAGAGCAGCACTGTTTTACAGATCAGAGCACTAATAGCTCCTGATTAGCAACTTCTTATGATCAAAAAGTCTGGATTAAAAACGATGAAAAAGAATCTGCAGTCAACTGTGTGACATCTGACAGCTTTATCACCTTCTAATCCGGCCTATACGACAATCCGGGGCATGCAAAACAAAACAGGTTTGAACCAAAGCTTCTACATTTTTATGTAAAAGCTTTATCTTACTTTCTGTGGCTTTCGAGATTGGACTTTTCTCACACTTTTCTCTTCTCTCACTCCGAAAAGTTCTTGTACTTTGTTTTAAATCCTTAATTGGTCTTTCCTTGTACTTTTTCAAGCCCTCAGGTCATATGACCAGTTCCTCCAACCTATACAGAAATCTAAGCGCAAGCTCAGCTGGGGGACAGAGCATTCTTGATTGCTGCCCCTCCGTTATGGAATAGATCGCCTTTGCACAGTTGTCCATTTTTGAAACTCTGTTTTGATTATAGTTGTTTTTCTTGGTGTTTTCAGAGTTTTTAGTGTATTAATTCATTTTTTTCCTGTGGCTGTTTTAAAGTGCTTTTTAAATAAAGTTGGTAATTTTAGTTTTCTTTATGATTGTTGGTTGTATTTCTAAGGGTCGAGATTTAAGAAGATAAGAATAAAACTCCTCGTGACGGGAACACATCCACCTCCATTCATCCATCCGTGTAAGAGCCTTTCCAGTTCAAGCTCACCACTCTGGAGTCAATCTCAGCTGTCATAAAGCAAGAGGCGGGGGTACACCTGGATCTGGACAGGTGACGTCCATCACAGCATGAAAATCACTGTTGTGACAGAAAACACATGAACCAAAGCCTTCTGATGCTTGTTGACAAATTTGAGCAGCTTTAGTAAAGTCTCATGCTAGAACTACTTTTACTTCAGTGAGTTAAAATGTTGTCTCACACCTGGTTTTAGTGTACTAGTCAACTATAATAGCCCTGGTTGGAACCTCATAAACAGAAAGAGACTAACAGTGATGTAGCTACACACTGCACACTCAGAGCCTGGAATGAGGTTAGTGCTTTATAAGTGAACAGAGCAGTGTGCCGTGTGGGCGGCACATTGATGTAGTGGTTAGCACTGCTGTCTCACATCAGGGTGGTCCTAAGTTTGAATCCACCAGCCAGCGGAGGCCTTTCTGTGTGGAGTTTGGATGTTCTCCCTGTGCCTACATGGGTCCAAAGACATTTATGTTGGATTAATTGGCAATTCTGAACTGGCTAACTGGCTGTCGGTGACAGTCTGTGCTATAAACTGGTGACATGGCCATGTTGTACCCCATCTTTCCTCCACCCAATCACCATATATTGGATTAGCAGAAGAAAATGCACAGCTGGAGTTCTTGTAAAGGTGTCCAAAGAGCATGGAGACCAGCTACGAAATATACCCACTTGTCCAAAAACCTCTGACTGTCAGTAGTAAATCAGCACTTTGGGTCACATTACAAATTTTGTGGAATGTGTCTGAGATGAGAGGTGTTTGTGGATGTCCCTCCAGGTCGCTTTCAAAGAGAAAACTGAAGGGAAGTAGTTTAAATTTGGAAGCGGCGGTGCACAGTTTCTGGCAGTTTGCTCCTGAAAGGCAGTGGAAGTGCTCGCAGTTTGTCGTTCATGTCAAAAAAAATCAGCATGACACTCTTTTATAGTGAAGCGAACTGTCACTCGACTTCTCGCTGACTTCTGTCAGTTTTCATGAAAGCAACACGATGAATGTCTTCCAGCAGCAGCTGTCAGAAAGTGTTAGCAAATATACCCGTGTGTGAAAAGCACAAACGGCAACAAGACACAGACTTTAAAGAGAGAAGAGATGCATGCATGACAACCAGACCGTTTTTGAACCATACTCTCATATCTAAAGGGGACCTATTACACTTTTATTTTCTCTCGTACTGTTATAATGATGGATGCTCATATTAAACACATATTTACAAGCTCTAAACACACCGTTTCTGGCAGATTCGTCTTGTCTTTGCTCGGTCTTATGTCATGGTCAGCCTCACCCACCTGCTGCTCAAAGCTGGCAGCAAATCTGAAGAAACAGTGGCACTAAAAGATCTCATTTCAAACAAATGCAGATAGGCACTGTTTAAGTCGAACAAGTATTATTTTAATCATCCAGTCATGCAAAGCTATCCTACTCGGGTCTAAGAATAAAGATATAGAGCTGGAAGTGGGCAGAGTAAGTAACCTTTAAATCTGCTACTAATGGTGGGCTGTGAACTTTGTAAATAAATCCAAGTGTTTGTTCTCAGCTTTTCACAGCAGAACTGTGACATTAAGCACATTTGAATGTCAGATACTCAGAAGGGTTGAATAAGGTTTGTCTGAGTCTGAGCATTTAGAAACAAGAGTTCATTGGTTGGAGAGTATACTGACTGAGAGGCTGTGTGCTCAAGTCCCTTTTTAATCTGATGGGGACCATAATTTACAAAAAACTAGTGAGTGAAACTGTAAACTCATCAGGAAAGTGTTTACCGAGATGAAAGGGACTGAACGTTTATTTTTCCATTGATTTCAACATTAGGCCTCAGGTTCACGCAGGCCTAGAGACTGATAATGTAACAACCACCAGTTGCTAAAGAAAAGGCTTCCACAACAGGTTGCCGAGTGATTGCAGAAGGTTGGTGGCGGTCTCTCTAGGCCCAGTCATGCAGGCTTAGAGACCAGTGGGTGACGCCCTGCTAAACACTGGGTGCTCTGCAACCTGTTGGAAAATGGTTGCTGGAGATTGCAGGCAGTTGCTAGCCTGAAATTGATCTTAAAAAAAACAAAAAAATGAACTTCCTTGCGATTGCTTTGGTCGCTAGCAGATTGCCGTGGACGCAGTAGTTTGCATGGATTAACACCGGCTTATCTGCAAATAGTCGTCATTTAAACTTCATCATTTGCAACAAGTAGCAACCTCCAACAACTACTTGCCAACTGGTGTGGAAACACATTTTTACCTAGAGACCAAGTCGCCCCATGCTGGCCATTATAAAGACTGCAGTTTTTTTTTCCTTTGTAGATGTGGCAGCTAGTGCTAGCATTTATACAATTTTGGTCGTGTAGAACCAGCTGAAGTGATTTTTACTGACTGGTTTGGTGTTCTCCATGAACAACTGCAGCACCTTCATTTAGTTATTCTTGTTTTGTTTTGTTACCCAATTACACATGAACCACAGGCCACTGATGGTTAGCCTCTGGTGCGCTGAAGTCCTTAGAGAGAAAGACCCCGACACTTAAAGGTGATTTAATTTAATTAGTAGCTTCAGAGACAACAGAATCCTCGTAGTGATGAATGAACCGTTTCTTTACACTTTAGAAAAATCACTCGTCGTGGGGACAACATGTCTGCGTGCCATCCATCCATCACACCTTCAAAAAGCCCGCGATAAATTAAAATCTTCAGATATACATCAAGGAAAGTCAAAAAAAGCAAAGAATACCAGGAACAAAGTGTGTGTTAAAAGCCATTACTTTGCAGTTTTAATTCTGTAATTTCCCTCATCACCTAAACATCCGTTTACCTGACATGACCTGGAGTAACTAGTGTTTCTTCTTTTAATTTTTTTTAAACATGTTGAGAAACACAAGTTTGAACGTGACTAATGTTTCTTCACTGTATTTCTGCAGCTTTAAAAAAAAAAAAAAAGGTTTCTGTGAGACACTAAAGAGCAACAAACAGAGCAAAAACACAGCAGAGGGTGCTGAAGACATGAAGGGTATTGCTCGCATTTTGTTACGTTCCTTATTTTCTTATCCCAGTTAAATTATGTGCAAGTATTTTCCATCCTTCATCGTGCTGCTGTCACAGAGTTAAAAATGACCAGAAGAGGGTTGAAATGTCACAAAGAGAAAAAAAAAAAAAAAGAGCAAGAAAACTGGAGGAAAAAGGAAAAAAACAAACAAAACCAAAACAAAACACGGAAAGCACAAGCAAGAGGAGAAAGGAAGCCATTATCAACCGCTTTGAGAACAGACGGAGGAAAATTTATGCATCCAATTATTTTCTATTTACCTGGAAAGAGAAGTCGCAGATGAAAAGTGCTTCAGAGGACGACAAACCTTTTTTTGGTCGAGCTAATACAGACAGTCGTATCTACAGTAGAAACGAGACAGACAGAACCCACAGGGAGAAGCACCTCCGCCCGCTCCCTCCGTCCACATTTAGTTATTTACATTTTATTTTTTTAGTAGTGTTCTTCTTCATTATTCTATCTGTGGTGTGTTCAGAGACTTCTAATGTACACAAAAGGCCATGAGCTCCTCATGCCACATCTGTCCATGTCCCTCCAAACTCTTCCAAGGTGGTTATGGGGGAGGAGGAGGAGGAAGAAGAAGAAGAGGAAGGGTCGGGTAATATGTTACTGGGTCGGTGAAATAGAAAGAAGGGGAAATGAAAGTGAAGGCAGTTGTCCTTCAGTGGTATCATGTGTCTGGAAGCTGATTGATGTCAGTCAAGTTGGTGTCATTGAGGATTACTTTGATTCGATCCAAGGAGTCCGCCTGTCGTATCCGCTCCAGCTGTACCTGAGGACACGGACAAACGGCGATTAATTCTCTGACACGGGAGGATTTCTCATACAGCACTTTAATGCTTTAATAATCAAATATCATCTGAAGGGAGTTCTCCACATAAAAAATGCAGAAAAGTTACTTTAAAAAAAATTCCCCTCCCCATTTCTTTCTTCTTTCTAATTTTAGTACTTTTACATTTTGTTTTCTTCATTATATGTTATTTTTGTACAAGGTTTATTAGTTTTGTGACCCTTTATTCACATATATATGGTTCATGTGTTTATTTTATAAGGGTTAGTACCTTGCATAGCCTCTCAGATCTCAGAACATAAGTTAATGCAATTCTGTGAAGGTCTTTGGCGTGGATCATTTATGAACAAGTAATCCCTTTGTGGTGGAGCTTGATGTATTTAGTTACATCCTTTTATTGGACAGGACAGAGGACCCAGCAGACAGGACAGAGGGGAGAGAGAAATGGTCTAAGGTAGACTTGCACTGAGGCCTACAGAAGTGCTGCAAGTTGTCATTTTTAAACATGAACAGCAGCTAATGTGAAATAATGTGTTTATTAAAGATTAAAAAACTCTATTTAAGCCTTTAAAATGTAACTGACAAATAAATCAAAAGAAGAGTAAAGTAGCTGGTGAGTGTATATTTGAGTAAACTCAATATTTTGTGTCTTTGAGTAAGTAATGTGTTGTCCAAAGTGTTACAAAGTCACCAGTTCTTCTATAGTTTGCTGTTAAATTGACAGTGACGTCACTAAAACATTTTTTCCCCCTCTTAGTTTTACCGAAACAAAAATATTTGCATTGTTAAAACTAACAGATGAAGACTGTGACTGAAGCTTGTGTTTTGTTTTTTTAAATAAAAATGATAAAAAAAATGACTAAAACAGCTCGGTTGCTTGAGGGTTAAATATATAACACAGTGACACTTTCCATTTCTTTGCATGTAATCTTAAAACCCGCTTAAAAGCAGCTGTGTCCCTTCTCCTTCATAATGCAAAGTCATTTTATGGTTTTACACTTTGGTCACCTCGGCCATCTAAAGCTTTGCCCTGCATGTGTTTTATTTATTTTGACTTTTAGTTTTTCCCATCCCTCCTGTAGCGCCCTTAAACGTGCTTCTTTTAAATGTTGTGCTACTTTAATAACTCACTCAGCATCTGGCCTGGGACAACAGCTGGAAGGCAAGCATTTGGAATATTTACAGCGGTGTTACAGTTGTGATACTGCAGTGTCTTGTAGCGTGCAATAGACCGCTGGTTGCGACCACAGTTACAGTCACTGCTCCCTCAGTTGTGGCTGCACCGGCTCAAGCCTGCACCGCTGTGTTTAGAAAGATACGTCGAGCAGCTAACTCTCGAGCTCTGTGGCTGACCACAGCCGGGACTGACTGCAGATCTGATTGTGACTGCAGCCAGATGATGACAGCTGTCCCCGCCGCTGTGGCTGCTTTGTTTGTCATGACTCGGGCTGTGACACGCCGACTACATGCAGCATCAGAAGCTGTACTGAAGCTACTGCGCTCATGAGGTCCTGTGGTGTGTTTGTAATACATGTGCTACAGACAAACCACAGTTTACTCAGCAGAAACACACGTTCAGAACACCACAGATTCAAACCAAGCTACATTTCTGGCAGGTAGTGTATAAACCCACCAACTGTACACATGAGGTAAAACACAGGAGGGGTCTGCAACAACCATGAAAACATTCCCCGTCATGACCTTTTGGGGGCTCTGAAGATTGTCAGAATATTTGCTGGTAAAAAAAATTAGATGTAAATCGGGTAAACTTCTTAACTACAATATTTTCAAATAAAATCTAAACATCCTGCATTAAAATTAAAGACAGTATTCACTGTTTGTGATACATTTTCATAATGGTTTGGTATATTTACTGGCTTGTTGTGTTTTATTTCTGTGTTTTTGTTTTTAAGACAGTTTTTATTAATAAATGGACGCGTTCCATATATTTCTCCTCTGATTTTTACCTGTTATAGTCGACTGAGAAGCTTCCAATACATATACATAAAGTTGTGGTCAGAAGTTTACAGACGTTATTTATATGCACAAACAAAGAACCTGAAGTCAACAAATAAACTCAGAAATGTTTGGCTTCAAGGTTCTTCTGTTTGGTTGAATGTAAGCTGAACAACTCTAACTGGCTCGTTGTTGACCTGGTGGAGGTTAAACAGACAGTCGCTGCTTACCTGAAGGGTCTGAGAAAGTTTCACAAAGTCCTTCTGAACCTGCTCGCTGACGTCCAGCTCGGTCTGCAGCCGCTGGGCTTTGTCTTTCTCGTCGAGGACTTGACTTTCAAGTGCACTCTACAAGGACATGCGCACACAGGTTCGTTCAGAAAAGCTACACAGTCTCAGTATTTAAAATAAAATCCTAAAGTGAAACAGAAACATCACAAAACATCTGCTGAATATTTTTACGGGTGCTTTATTTTATATCAAACAGACAGGGCCTCATAAAGCTGTCAGTAAACTGCTGTCGTGACACGAGGTTGGGATTTTACTGAAATATGAGCTGCTCGGTGGATCAGATGCTGCATAATGTGTCAGATCCTGATAAACTGTATAAAATCCCACAACAGCCGGGTTAGATGACGATGATGATGTTACTGATCGAGTTAAAGTGACTTTTTGGACAGGGGTGGTTGTGGTGGATCAGCAGATAAATGTGCGTGCCAAACACGGACCTTTGCAGTGGTGAGCTCTTTGAGCTGCTGCTCCAGGCTGATCCTCAGGCCCTGGAGGCTCCTCAGTGTCTCAGTCTTCTCGGCCAAACTGCTCTCCAGCTACAAAAACGATGTAACGCAAATAATCAGTCGACAAATAAATGAGATGCAGAGATGTTGATAAAAGATCAAGGCAGATTCTATGAGCAGTGGTAAAATTAATAATACGGTTTAAAGGCTTTGTTCATGGATTTTTGCCCACTGTAAACGACATCTGACCATATCATATCAGCACTGCATTTTATTAAGTACGTAAACTTTATAGCTCTTTATCTCAAAAAAGTCCTACGTGTGCAATAATTGCAATGACTGAACAAATGACAATTTCAATAAATGCAAAATAATGTGCCACCTACAGGACTTGAGTGTCTCAGTGGGAAAGTACAAAAGACATTTGCTGGGTAGATTAGTGGCTTTATGTGTTGAGGCTTTTTTGGTCTCTTTAGGGCAGGGGTCGGCAACTCCAGGCCTCAAGAGCCGGTGTCCTGCAGGTTTTAGCTGTGTCCTTGATCCAACACAGCTGATTTAAATGGCTAAACTAGCTCCTCAACATGTCTTGAAGTTCTATAGAGGCCTGATAATGAACTAATCATTTGATTCAGGTGTGTTGACTCAGGGTGAGATCTAAAACTTGCAGGACACTGGCCCTTGAGGCCTGGAGTTCCCCCACCCCTGCTTTAGGGGATTTCTATTGGCCTAACATTGGTAGAAAAGAGCTGCTGTGCAGATTTTTTGATTTAAACATGACTGTGCCTGGAGAAAAAAGCCTTTTTTCTTTTCTTTTTAAGAGAGTGCTTCTTTGATGTTTGAGAATATGTGTTTCGCTTGGAAAGAGCAACTCAAACAACAGTTCAAACAACAATTCCTGGAAGCAATCTTATTACAGGAAGCGCTCCTTCTTAAAAAACGGACCCAAAACAAATATTTATCTTCCGTCTGTGTGTGTTATTTCTCAGCTAAGTTTGTTTTGTCTCACGGGGAAAACAACACCAGTTTGCTGCTAACCTCTCTTTGTTGTGTCACCCCATTTGCAAGATTATAGACCAGGGGTGGGCAAGTCCAGGCCTCGAGGGCCGGTGTCCCTGCAGGTTTTAGATGTGTCCTCGAACCAACACAGCTGATTTAAATGGCTAAATTAGCTCCTCAACATGTCCTGAAGTTCTCCAGAGGCCTGGTAACGAACTGATCATGTGATTCAGGTGTGTTGACCCAAGGTGAGATCTAAAACCTGCAGGACACCAGCCCTCGAGGCCTGGAGTTGCCCACCCCTGTTATAGACCATATCTGCAGGGTTTCCCCCCTGTGTACGATCTGAGTGGACTAATCGGTCAAAGCCGATTCTCACCATCTGGAAATCTTTTGAAATATGAATTACTGTAAAGTATTTTCTTTTGATATACAGCGATGTCCAAAAGTCTTGAGCCACCCCTTATTTCTTTATAGTTTGCTGGGAAAATAAGAAATAGGTGCAAACATACCATGTAAATACAGTAAATACAGTACATAAGGGACATTCTAACTTTCTGATAGCTTCAAAGTCAATACTTGGTGCGACCACCATTATTCTTCAACATAGCTTCAACTCTCTTAATTTCTGTAACTAGTCTTCGGGTATCTTTCTTTAGGCTTCTTGAAGGACATTTAAAGCTGTTCTTCGAATGTTGTCTTCCTTTTTTTCTATGCAAGATCCTCCATCTTTTTTTAGACTGGCCACAGAAACTTACTGCATATAAAACCTCGTCACTGATTCTTAGTCCAGTTCTTGTGTAATTTAGTATTCCTCTGTCTCAAATGCATCTCAGGTCCTGTGTTAAGGTCTTTGCTAGATTTGGATATGACTTTCAGATATAACACATGCTGTGGAGGTTGTTTTGTTGGCCTGTCACTTCCTCTCTTGTGCTCCATTTGTCCACTTTCCTTAAATATTTTAAAGTACACACTGCAGACAATCCTGAGATATGCCAAGTTTACAAAAAGTACCATTTTATGCCTGTCAAACTGTTATCTTTGGCATTTTTCAAAGAAAATATGAAATGGAAACAAATTTGTGAAAAGCTCCTTGCAACAAAAGGCTTGAAGACAGAGTAAAACTGGATCTCTGTGAAGTTGTCTGCGCACACAACACTCATTCATCCGTTGATTTAGTTTTAATTAAATTTTTTATACTTTTTTGATTTGATTTTTTAATGAATCAAATCATTCCTTTGAAAATGATCAGGTGCAAAGACAGGACAAAAAGTGGGTGAAAAAGCAGCTAATATCCAACAAAAATTTTGAAAAACCTTCAGAAAGCCCAAAAAACGATTGTGCAAAATCCCTTGAAAAATAATTCAATGGAAGTCTCCATGGAAGCAAAATACAAAGAAACGAGAAAGAAGAAGAAAAGGGAAAGACCATCTCTCAACCATATCTCAATCTTGAGTGACAAGATGCAAAAAATTCAGCTAACGTTTGCTCAGATTGGTTAACTGCAGTAAACTAAGGCATTAATTTTAATCCCACGAGTCCACAGAGTGAAGCAGATTTCCTCAGTCTGCACGCCACGCTGCAGAGTCCGAGTTATCTACAGAATCTGAAGACAACGTTCATCTCTGCTAATCCTTCTTGGTCACAGCACCCAGGCTGAATGACTTCATAGTGTAAAACCCCTAAATACCTATTTTATACCTTTCTATTTTTTAAAACGTATGTTTATACAACAGTGACGATACACAGTTACATTGCTGCAGTTAAACAAAATGCAACTGATACTAGAAGTCCGATGTACTTTGCAACAGCTAATTTGCAACCTTGACCTTGGTTAGGGTTAGAAGACCTTAACAACAAAAACAATGACAGCAATAATAATAAATAATAACAGTAACAGCAACGACTACAAATAAATAGAAACATTTAAGAAAAACCATTAAGAATGACAAAAAAGCCATTTCAGGGATCAGAGATTTGCTTTTCTTTAAGGCATAATTTTGCTTTTGCATTAAAAATGTTAAAATCAGTTAATATTTTTTATTTAAAAGAAGACTGACCAAATGTTTCTTTACATTTTGGTGACAAGGTTTAACTTACAATCCTCATTAATAGCTCCCCTTGTGTTTACTTCCTGTTTGAGATACTCAACAGGAAGGTCAGTTAAAAGAGAGTTTCTCACAGTTTTTTCACTACACAAGTTACTCCAGTAAAACTGGAAATAACGTTGAGCTTGGTGAGTATGAGTCAAACAGCGAGGAGGCTGGTGCCCCCTTCTATATCATAGTCATTTGATCCAAGTATTGATCAGTGCAGATTTATTTATCAGGATGAGGAGAATGACCTTCTCTGTCCACACACAGGTTAGATTAAAAGAGTTGCAGGTACATGAAAAAAATAAAAACCTGTGCATTTCTCCCACATCTACATTAGTATTTTGATTTTTAGCATTATTTGAAGCACATTATCCAAATCTTTTTCCTTCACTGCATGACAATTTCACAGAAGACGTACCTGTTCCTTCTCCGCTTTTATTCGCTCCAGCTCCGTCTTCAAACTGGAGAAAGACGCTGTGGGAAGAAGACATCATTAGAGGATCACACGGCGCTCATCTGAATCTCAAAGCCCGGATATTCTCTCAGGAATTATTACGAGAGCCCCTGAAAGTTATGAATAATGCAACAAAGCTGCTTTGCCCGGAGCTGCTGTGTGTGTTGAGCTCAAATGAGCGCACAACTAAAAGAAACAAACAGCACAAGCATGAAACACTCCAGCTGTTAATGACTACACTGACTCACTGGCCACTGACAACAGAACCGGCACCAAAAATCATCCATCAAGTGGAAGCACTTGTGTTTAAATAGAGATAAACCTCCTGGTACGTTGTAAAGAGTGTGTACTTTCTTCAGTCAAAATCTCCCAGAGAGAGAAGTCTAAAGCAGCGCAATGCAAACAGTTCGGTTTTACAACTAAAACAGGACATTTAGTTTTATCAGTCATCAGAAAATGAATTAACGACGAGCCCTTTCATAATGTGTACATGAACCAGCTGTTAATGCAAACAAAATAACATGAATATTACTGGGTCTCTTGCTCTAAAGCATTAAATCAGATGTTAAATATCTCCTTAACCTCTGAACTTAAGCATGACAAGGGATAAAGGATCCATTAAAACACACTTGGGGGGAAAAAGCAGCTGTCATATAAATGTACCGTATTTTTCGGACCATAAGGTGCACCAGATTATAAGGCACATTAAGGGAAACAAAACAGTCAGATAAGTCAAACTTTACTCAACTTATTCTTCTTGCTTCCTCCACTTCCGTACCACTGATTCATTAACGTTGAATTGTGTACCACATAAAATCGGTTCAAGGTCAGTAAGCGCGACCAGAATTTATAAATAAGGCCCACAGGATTATAAGGTGCACTGTCGATTTTTGAGAAAATTAAAGAATTTTAAGTGCGCCTTATAGTGCAGAAAATACAGTATTTTACTTTTTTGAAACGAGAGAGATGATGCATAAAAATGTATTTATGACCCCGTTACATTCAGTAAATGATTGCTTTTTTAAATGTGCTTATCATTCCCGCACTGTTTCCTTCATCTATGAAAGATATTCTAAAGCCGTGACTTTATACACTCTTTATGGAAACCGGAGTTTGTGCACACAGCTCTACCAGATATTTATCCTGTGGTTGGCTGGTTTAAAAGGGAGGTATTCCCTGAAACTGCATACAGAGTAAAGTATTACGAAATTAAATCAAATGAAAGGAAAAGCAGCAGGTTTGTCCACAGCCTGTCACAGCACGTACCTCATGATAACTCTCCTCTTTGCTCAAAGTCTGTTAGTTATGACTCACTGCAAATCATCACAATGCTATGGCTGCAAGTAGAAATCCCGTTCATGATAACATGTATAACTTCTAATGCGTTATCTTGTAAAATGAAAGATATAGCAACACAAGGTGTTTACATTCCCTAGTGCAACAACAAAACAAGCACAGACACATCTGAGAGGGAGAAGAGCCCCTCAGCTCCCAACGGTGACTCCCAAAAAGAGCTGCTTTATCTCTGTGAACGTTTTTTGTAGGAAGAAAATGGTTTCTCTTGAAAGGTGGAAACACAACAAACCTGTCTCACCACTTCAGCCCTAGTGGGAGTCGTCCCTTGAGAGGGTCGTTGATTTATCATGTGCCTCATCACATGAGCCAAGGTGTGGGAAAAACAGGGAGTGGGGCATTATCAGCAGAGGTTTCGGGTGAAACCATTGTGAGATCTCGCCTCACCCTGTTATGTGACTTGTTGAGATCAACTGACACAAGGTGTGAGTGGGCGTTAAGTGTAACCAAGGTAACATCCGACCCCACTTTCTGAAATCCATTTATTGTGGCGGGAATGAACTTTGCATAACTTCCGGGTCAATCTGCTGCATCTTCCCTGCGTCACCGCTGCTGCAGTCTCTGTGGTTGGCGTGCTTGTCAGAAGTTGACTAATTACTGACGCCATATTGCTTGACAGTGTGAAATAACCCGGCCAATTCATTCAGCGTTGTGCCTCCACTTGATGGCGAACCGGTTACTTTGTTTGTTTATTATAATAATGAAAATGCGGCGCCGCAGTCGCGCAGTCGAAACACCGGTAAACTAACACTAGGCCAGTGAAGCTTAAGTTTAATTACTGGTTTTATTTATTGAATACCTGTTGTTTTTGTTTTTTCACTATGGCCGAATGTTAAATGAACACTTCCAGAGTTGAGTGAACGATTTGATTTTTGTCCATTTTGGATGTTTTTTGTTACTTTTTTAATTGAATGCCAAAACAGCCTATGGGACTTTTGAATTGACTTAAATTCCTTCTAGATTATTGAACTTGTTGCACAACACTTGAAGGTTAGACATCCTAGTTTCAGTAAACTAGGCGGTGCGCAAGGTCAACACACAGCAAGGTACATTTTTCAAATAGCTTAACAAAACAGATAAGGCCTCAGTCACACAGGCCTGCAGACCTGTCAGCAACCATCTACCAACCATAAATCACAAGGGAAAAATTAGTATCCTCAGACCAGTTGCAAGTGGTTGCAGGAGGTTGTTGGCAGTTGCTATAGGATGTGCACGGTGGACGTGCACGGTGCTCCACCAAAAACCTCCTTGCAAATGCTTTGGTTGTGGTGACAAGGAGTTTGCATAGAATGAAATGCAGACTTGTCTGCAAACCTTTGCAAACTACTTGTCAAGCGGTGGTGAAATTGTGAGAAGTGTGACGCAAACCTTAAGCAGAGAGTATTTGCCTTCAAAATAAAAGCTGCATCTTCTTAAATGTTTTGTTTGGTCAGGCAAAAATTTTACGTGAAGGTGGATGTTTTCCGTTGTAAGTTTTTTTGGTACACCACCCAGCACAATCACCAACCTATATCAACCACTTGCCAACCAGTCGGGGGACTGGAGGTTGCTACAAAGAGGCTAACTGGTCTCTAGGCCTGTGAAAACTACATTAAAAACATGTGAGGGGAAAGCATCATGTTAAATGCTGACTGCATCATTAGTCTGCCAACTAAGTCATCAACGCACACACATGCAGGCAGCTAAAGTGAGCTTGTTCAAACTGCTGATCATACCTTCCAGGATGTCTGAATGACAAATGGGGAAAAACAAAAAGCAGAAACGGAAGATCGTTTAAAAAGGTAGCAGTTAAAACACAAATACACACCCTATAGCTGATCAATGATTTAAACACAAGTTGATCGTTCAGAGACTCACCTATTTCCTCCTTACATCCCTCGATCTCCAGCTGCAGAGTGTCCTCCAGGTTCTCCTTCAGGCACTGCTCCGCCTGGATCTGCTCCTTCAGAAATAAGATCTCAGCCTTCAGCTTCTCCTCCATGTGATCGGCCGACGTCCGTAACGCCACCATGTCCTCACGCAACCGCAGCACCAGGCCCTGGAGCTCCTGAAGAAGAATCAACGAATAACTTTACAACCACCAATGTGGACATCCCCGTCACCTCCGTCGTATACACAACATTTTCTTCTGATGTGATGCGACTGTTCTGCAGGAAATGATCAGAAAACCTTAAATATCCAGGGTACCAGTACGTACTTCCATTCATGTCACAGACATTAAATTAGTGCAGTTTGCTGTTAAAAATATAATATATATATACACTCTGCAATATTGATTCGGCCTTTATATTAAATATGGCTATCGTCTGTATAAATTAAGTTACGAGAGCTTAAAATGCTGGAAAAAATAAAATTCCAGTCACTCTTATGTACGTAAAACATGATATATGTAGGATGAAGGAAACCAACTGCATGGCTTCGCTTAAACTAAAGTTATTGTGTATAAAAAGTGGGCCAATTCTGATTGGGTTAGATGGGAACTTGTTTTTATATTTGGTTGATTTTATATGGAGTTACTCAGTAGTAGCCAGACAGAGGCATAATCTCCAGGGGGCCAATTTGTAACCCGAACACTGTATTTCTACCATACTTTGCTGAGTTATTGTGTTTGAAAGGACTCTATTTCACCATGACAAGTTTTATAAACCTCTTTTGGAGTACTATAAACTGCTGTGGCCTGTTTTGGTTTCTGAGAAATTACTGAACTTCTTGGATCATATTTCTCATTTGACAGGTACCCGAAACAACACCTGTAGAACACAAATTTATCCAAGCACACACGAATGATTAAAACAGATACCTGTACATGGTCATAAGCCATCGCTTGACGTCTAAGACTGTTTACATTTGTAAGTTATGTGACAGCTGGGAGAGAGAACGGGCAGTTAATTGACTCAGAGCAGCGGTCTAGACGTCCAGCTGTCAAAAAAGGAGACTCAGCTGACGTGGCGCTGATGGGGTATGCGCTCAAAAACCACTCAGTTATTGGGTCACTCCTCCCAGCCCCCCTCCGTTAATGGTTTTTGACTGGATGGTGCTACAGATGTTTCTGATTGTGGAGGTTTTTTACGAGATAAGACACGTTTATATTTAACCGATGCGACTCTGAATCCAACTAGTAGTTAGTGCAAATTAACGATTGCAGTAATGGATATCCACGAGGCTTTTGAATGCATAAATCTGCCTCTGCTCGCATCATGATGAATGCTTAGAAGCACATTTAGAAGTGGAAAACCACTGAATGAACTGCCCATCACATTAACACGATTTCTGGTATCCAACAGTAGCTGAAAAAGAATGCACACCTACTATAACTGGAGGAGTTCTGGCTCTCACAAAGCAGATTTAAACGATTACGTTTTAACCACCAACATGTTGCGAATGTCACAAGATCATCAGCCTCCGCTAAAACATGAGTCCGCTCTCTTTTGTAATGCTGAAGAGTAACTCAGCGTGAGGCTGAGAGTAACAGTGTGGGAGGAGATGTGTGTTTGAGGCGGGAGGGCAGCCCACGGACGTATAATAGATTTATGTGTGCAGCAGACTTTTTTTTCCACCTCATCAGATCAGCTCAAAGTAAGCAGCACTGCTGTTAATCACTGAATATGAGCTGGTGGAGCCACAGAGGTGTTACCACTGAAGCAATTAGCCGAGCGCTTCACTGCAGGGATCAGTCTGTGTCACTTTTATCGCTGTCTGTGGCGTGAGAGCGGACAGAGCTGCTCACGTTGCGACAGCTTTTAAATGAACAGTTGACTCTACTGACCGAGAGCAGCAGGCTGTGAAGGTGCTTTTATATTTAAACCCTGCATCATCTGTATTCTTTACCAGCTCAGGCTGGGTGGAGATGATTTACTTAAAAGTTGGAGAAACCCGGCGTAAATGTGGAGGAACTTTATACAAGAAAGTCTGTCTTCTTAAAACCTGGCACAAAGTTTAGATTTGAACATCAAGCAGCATCATCCAACCTGCTGATGTATTAAGAAGCACCGTCCACTAAAAGCACTTAACAGAAAGGCTTGCATATGGGGCTATCGAAGACGGGCTCAGATTTTTACAAGGTGATTTTTTGGAGGGGATTGTTTTAATTATTTAGTCTTTTGGTTTAATAAGTGCAGTCGAACTAACATTCACCGAGCTATCTGGACTCTTCAGATTTCAACCCAATACTTTTCCTTGCACATAAACTGTCTTCAGCAAACCAGCAGCGAATGGGAGCAGGTGATAAGGTTGTTCCATCTAAGCACAAGTGCAGACTTCCCTCATCCCGGCCTCCTCTTCTAGTCCTCCAGCAAATCCTGGGTTGTCCTCCAGGGTCCTCTCCCAGTAGGACATGCCCGAAACACCTCACAATGAGGCATCCAGGCATCCGGCTCTATTCCCTCTTGAATGCCCGGCTCCTCACCTCATCTCTAAGGGAGAGTTCAGCCACCCTTCAAACTAAACTCATTTCCCCTGCTTGCATCTGCAACCCCATTTTTCAGTCATCACCCAGAGCTCATGATGGTAGGTGATGGTAGTGATCTCGTTTTAGGAGCCAGAGAAATACTGTTTGTTTGTTTGTTTTTTACTTAAAGTCTGTCCAAGTGTAAAGAACTGCATAAAAGCTATAACCATGAATAATTTCAGAGTAAACAAATCTAGACTTTAAACTGGTCTTTGGACGCCTCCTTTCAGACACATTTCAATAAGTACAACTGAAGTGTTATGGATGGAGCTGAGGCTGCACGTACTTGAACAGTAGTGGGCATTTGGAAGTCTTCTTGCTGCTGCAGTTCTAAATGCAGCCTGTGCTTCCCCTGCAGACTCTCGTTATCTCTCTGTAGTCGACTTAGCTCATCTGCCACCTGCTCCCTGGACTTCAGCAGCACCGCCTGAAACAAACAAGCACAAAGAATAAATCCTCTCGTCATGTGTCACTTTTTTTTTTATGGCGCCTCCTGCCATATGAAACCATCAGCCCGTGAACACATGTGAAGAGTGACTCACAAGCCAGTGTCTGCTTTTAGAGCCACCTCCACCTAAATCTCCCTGCAGAGCTAATATTCAGCTAGGTGTAGCTCTATGAATTAATTTATGACGCTACGACTTCTGCACATCAAAGCCACCAAAAGCAAAGGGGATGCCTCTCATCAGTCGAAGACAAGACTGTTTGCAAAGTCTTTCAAGTTACTTTGATGCCTGTGCTGATGCAGCTTGCAGAGGCACATTCATTATTGAGAATGCTTCTGTTTCAGGTGCTTCCTGCTTTTCCTTTTGGACAATAAGCTCGGAGAAGAAATGTACCTTGCTTAGAAATGCACTTCACATATTGACACAGAGATTTTTTGCAAAACCTCTGTACAGGAGCTGATATGTAGATTCGGACAGATGTATTTAAATTTCCTTTATAGAAGACTAAATAACTGCATCTCAACTGCAAATACGGAGGTAGGGACGACAACTGATGTTGCATGTTTATTCAAATTTACTTACAAAAAAAAAAAAAAAAAGCAATATGGGAAAACATCGGGCTGATTTAATGACTTTTCAGGGTTTGGATCAGATATGCGTCTGATCCCGACCTAGAAATCATTGACCGTGGGCTAACAGAGCAGAGAGCTAACAACAACTAGACATCAGTGTGGAGATATTTTACGCCTGCTACACTTTTTCTTTGTATGTTTTTTTTAATTAACTGCAAACTGTGGTCAAAGTGAATCAACGTGAGTGACAGGCTCGGATGAGACAATGCTTTCTCTCACACTCTCATCACGTTCATGTAACACTTGCAGGAAGCTTTTAGAGCGCTGACAGTAACATAACATGCTGTCAGCACCTCGCACAATATTTCACTTTACTTTCTTGTGTCTCTTGTCATTTCCGCTCCACACACGGTGCGTTTATGAGGGCAACGAAAGAAGAAACTAACAAGACCGTAATTAACATCCAGATTCAGTTCATTAAAAGATATTACACTAAGAAATACGCACTGATTCAATTTTATCTGCTGACATGGACGCAGTCAGTCTTAATGTTTAAAGCGACACCAGTCTGAGACTCAGCAATTCTTCATAAAATAAAATCAACCATAAATACATCAAATAATGTAAATTTATTGAGTTGGGTTTTATTAGAGAGAATAAAGTGCAGTAATAAATGACAACGGGCCCAGGATCCATCATAATTCACTGGTTATTGTAAGGTGGGAAATGCAGAGAGACAGTGGTAAGGCTTTTTGTCACTGGTTGGCTGTATTGTCAACAATTAATTCTATCTTGAGCACAGTTTGGGTGATCATTTGTGCCAAGGTCTCTAAAATCTGATCGATGCTGTAGGAGGAGCAGCGATTCTTGTGAACTGTGGAGGGTCAGATGGATGCTTTGCCACAGTACAAGCTCATTGCGCTCGTTATGCTTTGCAAGTGCTAATTTCACCGGGATTCTACACACTGCTGTTATTTACAGTCACACCAGCGTCTCAGTGTCCTGCACATCCTCACACACACACGCCGGCACATGGAGCTGACAGAGAGAGCAGAAAATAAATCATGTCAATCAAGACAACGACAACATGTTTGTTACCTAAGTGTCGTAAAAGCTTCCCAGCAAGCAATACACAGAACCAATGTAACCAGAAAGGAAAAAGCGTAATTGTTTTCAGTCTTGTGAGTTCACTGTGACCACAGTTTGCAGTAAAGTAAAAAAAATGCTGCAAATACACAAATAAAAGCTGTTGGTGCAGCGGATGTGAAATACCACCAAACTGTTGCTGCTTGCGGCAGATTGTCACCTATATCTGATCCAACCTTTTGCATGTCACGTTGGACAAATATCCAGTAAAAGCCTGCTCAATTGTGACCAATTAACACCTTGAATACATAATATTCATGTGCTGACATTTCTTAATCATTCAAGATTAAACTGGTTATTAAATAAGCCATCGGGTAGTTAACTGGTTAGTTTAACTGATAAATGTTGTGCTGTACTTCAAAAACACTAAAACTTTTAATATTTTTGTGTTTTTGACTGTTTTAAATCAAATATTTTGGAGCTTAGCACTGTTTTTGATTGGACAAATATTGGGTCTTCTTAGGATTCAGTGCTGACTTAACACTCTTTAATTTTACTTAGTAATGCAAATAACATTTTCTTCAGCTGTGCACTTTTGCTGCAGACAGGAGCAACTTTTTGACACTGAAGCAAAATATTCTTTAGCCACAAGCTCTGTCACATCAGCAAATATTTGTAGTGTGGGAGGAACAGTGAAGTTACTTCTGTAGAGGCAGAAAAATGCAAATCCAATCATTAGTGCCTCTGAGGTGCAATTCAGTCTGGCAACACGTCGAATAAGTGACCGAGAGTCTGTTATCTGAGCATTTATTTAAATATGTGCAGACTTGCCAGAGCTGATATTAAGATCCAGACACAGCTGGCAGGAACAGGCGATACATAGCTCACAAATGAATATGCTGCTCACCATCTGTTCCTGTGTGTTCCTCTTAGCGTCACTGAAGGCTTGCTGTAGTGTGCCGAGCAGTGTTTCTGATTCCTGGACTCTCTGCATGAGGCCAGATACCTACAACACACATGCACAAAAAAACAACAACCCATCAATAAGACAAAAGCAAGCAGGCCACAGTTACACAGACATGCAATAGTTCTGCACAGGGCACAAATTACTTGAAATAGTGAGATCATAGGTTCAGGAACTAGTACACTAGTTCGAGCCAGCTGTGGGCAGTGCTGCACTAAATTAACTTCTGGTTTTAGAAGTGACAAAATGCATTCACACACTTTATTTTTATTTTTTTAAGTTGGTGGTCAATGTGACACGTTCTGCAACAAGAAAATAATGAGGTTCATGTAGGGGCAACACAGAAGCAACATGCCGCTCTCAGGTACGCTGCAGGATGGCTGCACAAATGCAATCAGATCTCAAAGAACAAAGAAAAAAAAAGTATATTTCTCCATTACTTTCTGCAAGAGAACTGCCTTTCCTACAAACTGCATTTTTTTTAGAAGTAAACCCAATAAAACACCTTCATACTGAAGGCAGACAGTGCATTTTCATGACTCTCTGAAAAGTGCATATGAGTGTGCAGAGAGCATGACTGCACAGTTTGTTGAACTGATTTGCTGGAGGCCTGAGCTGCACCCTGGGGTGTGCAGAGCAGCAGCGTTAGATAAGAAAGAATCCATTATCACACATCATCTGTGGACAAGTTAGCAACAACAGTGTGTTCGAGGATATTAACAATGAAGGGCGATCACATCCGCTCCACTCGACACTTAAAAGCTTCCCTTTTCTCATTTGGGCAGAGACAGTTAAGTAATGAAGCAGATTCTGGGAAAGCTTTTCTACATTACCGCTCTCATGTTTTCTTAAAGTGTGAGAATATTTGTCTGAACCAGTGACATCTAGTGATGTGTAAATGTTTTGGACATACTGGATGTTGCATTTCTACAGAGCCTAACTGGTAACACGGGTGGAAAATCTCAGTGTAGAAATTAGTTCAGTCAACGTGTTTGTGAGGCCACAATATGCAGAATATCTGCAGGGCTGTTATTACTCATTAAGCAGGGATGAAAGTTGGAAAACGTGCCATTCACAGTGACGCTGCAGTTTTAAGTAAACAAAGGAAATGCACTCGATATAACAAGTGTTAAGCCATATCTATCACTTATTTAATTCAAATGTGTGCAAACGCCTCTTTAGATGCATGCAGACATAGTTCGATGCAGAGGCTACCCAATCATGTGATCAGTGATGATTCTCAGGCAGAATAGGGAAAAGGATGAGTTGCTGCTTTAACTGGAGGAGTTTAAGTATCCCCCAGGGTGTTGAGTGAGGGATGGAGCAGGTAAGCAGCAGGTAAGCAGCAGACTGATGGGTGTAGCATTGATGAAGATGTGTTGTGGTGAAGAGAAAGCAGAATAAAGGCGAAGATGTCAGTTGATTCAGTTACACCTGTAGCCACAAGCAATGGATACTGAAGGAATCAGATAGTGGATAAGATTCCTCTTACAGGTGGCTAGGCTCTCGCTTACTGAGAGGGGCAAAAAAAGGCCAGTAACCACTGGGTAATTAATATATAATGCAACAGCACAAGCATAAACGCCGGTTACAATGTCGGCCCCTTACGTTGGTTACATCGTAGGCTCTACAAAGACAACCCAGAGTTTGTTTAATATACAGCACCATGAGGCGACTATTCGCAGAAAAAATTAGTCAATCACTGACCGACTGAGGTGTTCCTCAGGGCTCAATAGATTCATACCAAAAATTTCCCCTATAATTGTAATGTCTGTTGAATTACCCAAGAAAATTATACAGAGAGCAATAAGTGTTAAGAGATGTAACTGCCAGCTCTGCAAACCTGTAAACCACCACCTCAGTGTTGTAAAATCAAAGATGCAGTTGTGGTTCTTCTCATCATCGCACTCACAGGATTGAATAAAGAGGCTAAAAGCTTCAGGCTCACAACTGCTGGCCATGCTGCTGTTGCCCTGGTAACAGATGAGAGAGCTGATGGGACTGGGCATATTGACGTACAGATGTATAAGATTTATTTGGTCAACGGGGCGTCTACAGGTATACAGAAGTTAAATTTAGGACATTTTTGGATCTTGTACATGAACAGACAAACACGTATGAAACTGACTTTCTGTGGATCTGTGAATGAATATTAATCAACTACAGCGACAGCAACAGTGAGTATGGGTGCCCTGGATTGAGCAGGTGCACGGTGTTAAACTGTTAAAAACTGTGTTTCACCGTTTCATTGCCGGTTATTTCTCCTCCCGCTGTGGCAAGTCATCTAAACATCAAAGCAGTGCTGATGCAAAGCTGCACCACCTGCACACAGATGGTGCCCATTTTATCACACAGGATGCCAGCACCTTCACATGTATCAACACACTACTGTTCGGAAGTACTAAACTTCCTTTCCACTGAGCCAATGCACTACACCGAGGAAGACGGCCTTAATAATTACACAGTAACCACATTTTTGGTGGTGACACTAAATAATTTGAATAACTAGCTTCACCAAAGGCCACCAGTTGCCTTGTTCACAGTAGACCTTTCATCTTTCTTATAATAATCACCTAAATCAGGGTCACTAGTTTTTAATTACTTCGGCGAGTTCCTGTTTCCAAAAGTTGCTTTCTGAAGATATTATTAACTTATATTAATACGTATTTATTGAGTAGATCCATAATTTTAATTTAATAATTTGCTTTACTTTTTATACATTTTCTTTCTCCCACTATTCTGAGTGGTAGCCTGTAACCTCTGAGTAGAGCCCTTTGCTCTCACATTGCAGGTTTACTCGTGGTTCAAATGGTGTTTACCTGATAATACAAAGTGTCTAAAAGTGACTGCTGTTGTGATTTGATCCTACTGAATACTTCCCGAGTTGCTCCGGAGGAGATATCGGGGAAAAGCCAAGAGTAGGAGATAAGAAGATAAACTGTTCCAGCCATTGTTAGCTGAGAAAATGGGTCCTTTTACAGTAAGACGGATGGAGAGCTAACACTGTCAGCGTGTCTGATGTGTTTCATGGAGATGTTGCTAAACTCACACTTCCTGGACAAGCATGTGACTGTACCTGGCTTCAGGGCTTTTTTCGGGTGGACAGCGATGTTAATTTGAGCGATGAAGCAGACATCATCTGTGGCTATGGTGAAAGCCTGTGGATAATGAGTGGATCTGACAACCCTCTGCACCACTTACTGGATGTGCAGCAGAGCACACAACGCTCTCTTCTCTTTCCCCTCACCCCTCTAGATGGCTACCCTTCATTGAGCGTGCGTCGTGTCATCTTTGAAGTCTCAAAAAGACAAAAACACAAAACAAACAGCAGCCACGTGTACGCTGAGTGCTGACTGGCTGAAAAGTTGGCTTGAACAGGAAAGAGATTAAAAGTGTTGCTCACCACAAAGAGGAAGAAGTGTGGAAAAACGCTACCAGTAAGCTCAGACAGACTGTGCAGTGGGAAGTTTTTGCTAGAAAGAAATTTTTAATCTATTATGACTTAATCTAAAGTTATGTTTTTGGCACTGCCTCCAGCTGACCTCACACAGCCACCGCATGTCGACGTGTGTTTACAAAGCTCGGCACAGCACCAGTGCCATGCTGGGACAACTAAACTGAAGAACTTGCTTGAGCTGTTTTAGATTTTTCTTGAGTATGGCAGCTGGGATAGCCTCCAAGACGATGGCTGGATGGAAATCCAATGAAAGTAACGCGTACGTCAGCGGTTAAGGCATGAATATTTTATTATGTTTATTTGCATATGTGGTAAATGTGGAAACTGGCCAAATCTCTGCTCCGATGGCTTTGTCTCTGAGAAATAATCCGCCAGACCTCACACCAAATTTATCCAACGAATGAACAAACATAGCTAAAAGCAACTCAAATAAATCCCATTAGACTCCAAACGAATGATTTTTCTACAGTAATTATTCTAATGTCATCAACTCTGACTTGAGTATGACACACTGGAATAGAAAGTGGGGGTTTAAAGTCTTTAAATCCACACAGACATCAGAACCAAGAGAACACATGGTCCTGACCTTAGCAGCGGTTTCCTCGTTTCCTGCTTTGACTGAATCTTCCAAATTCTGCTTCTCAGTCATCGTCCTCTCCAGCTGATCGTTGGCCTGACGTAGCATCACCTGCAGCTTCTTCACCTGTAGGACAGTAAGAAATGAGAACCCCTCTGATGAACATTACAAGTCAAACCTTAAATATCTGCTTGATGTGATTAAAACGCAATGGCATGAAAAAGAAAAACCCGAACCTGATCTCTCGTCTCGGCCTCCTGTCCTTGGATGGCCTGAAGCTGCTTCTCATAGTTTGAGCACATGTCGCACCTTCGTCCGAGCTTCCTGCCAGCATTTTTCAACTGGCGACAGATAAACAAGAAACCCATGTAATAAAAAAAACTACTTAATACTCAATAACGATGCTCAGCTCTAGGATGTAACAAATTAAGACTTTGTTATGACTGAAAACATGAAAAAATGAGTCTTGCAGATTTCGCAGAGGGAAAGCGCTAAGAGGAGAAGGCTGATCTCCTGATATCCGTCAGGATGCTTCAGTCGGAAGCTGTTTTCAGCTACTCCCTTATTCACGAGGGGTCGCTTCACGGCTGGTAGCTTTCATGTATGACTTGGCAGATTTTTACACCACATGGCCTTCAATGCCCAAAGGGATCTGCCAGGGATCTTTCACTCGTTAGGCGGCTGTGTAAACGACTGCACTATTGAGCCACAACAGACTAAAAAACTTAATTAAGACCATTAAAAATATATCAAGCAGGTGACATGGCCACACTACTCATCTGATATTTGCTGTTCTTGTTTTATTACTACATTTAGTCAGCCATGTTCACTGTGTTTAGCGTTTATTTTATTTCTTTATCACCATCATTTTACTTTAAGCCTCTTTAAGCTTTCCCAACTTTGGGGAAAAATTTGAAGAAAAAGGAGGAAAATGTGTTTTCTGTTCTAAATGCTGGTAAATAAAAATGAGAAACACTCAAAATTGCACTACAACGTGCATATGCTCTAATGTCGAGGTACAAAGAAGAACTAGTCAGGAAGTAAAGATCCTAAAGCGAAGTAAAAACCTTAGGCGCTGTAAAAATGTTACGTCCAGTCATAACCATTAAACCCTTTGAACCACCTTTGACCCCTGCAGTGCTCAGACCATTAAAGCTGTTGTAAAGCCTTGGTGAAGCACCTCTTGCTGTAGCAGGTTCCACTCGCTGTCACTGACGAGCCGGTAGCCGGCAGGCGGTAAGTAAGCGGTGTCTGGGGCGTGAGAGATGCTGGACAGCAGCGACGCCGTCTCCTCCTGCTCCGGGGTCATGGCTTTGATCGCCTTCTCCTGGTCTTTAGTCAGCAGGAAGTGACTTGTCGGCAGCTTGATTGAGCTGATTGAAGCAGTCTCTCCAAAACTACTGTCTGTCACCCCGCTGTCGGCCCCAACCAAGGGCCCAAAGTCCGACTCGTCCAAGTGGCCTGCTGATTTGGCCTTGTGGTTCTGGCCGCCAAGACCCTGCTGGATGGACAGCGAGGAACCGAGGCTGTCTGTGGACTGAACTCGCCGCAAGTTGTCCTTGTAAGGGTCCATGGGGCTGCCCGTCACCACATCAGTGTCTAAGGAGTGCATAGAGCCGTGGGCGCTGTGGTTCACATGGGGCTGGAGGAAAAAGCGGAAAAAGGCATCCTCAGGAAAAAATCTTTCATAGTATCAGATTTATTTAATAAGTGGGATGAAGCTGGGCAGACAATATTTTTTAATTCACCTTTTAAATATATAATTTACAGTAACACGCCAGTGGTTAATGTGTTAGTCTCCCGAGTCTCTCACAGCGTGGGCCTCTCAGTGCCCACATCCGCACCCAAAGACCTTTCCACGTGGTGGCTGCTGGCTAGCAAAAACAACATGATCCCCGACTGCCTCCACCTCTTTTGATCCACATTTATTTATTCATTTTCATTTGAATAATAACTCAAGTTCAAGGAAATCCCCTGTAAAAATGTTGCCATTTTTAAAGTTCATTGTTACATGTGCCCAAGTCTGCCACATATTCAGCATCTGGTCATTTTCTATCATTGTTATTAACCTGCTTTCCTTCTCTGGTTCGTTCTTAATGAGAGTTGGCATTGGACGATCACTCGTGTGCATATAAAGCTATAATCATTTTTCTTCTGTAGCTTTGCTGCTTATTAATTATTCACTTTTTAAGGGGGTGAGGGTTTGGTTTTATTGGTTTAGTTTCCCAGTGCAAGATGAAGTGAGAAACCTGATGATCAGAGGTGTGATCTTCCTCTTTTGTTTGTTTTTGCCAGCATTTCCTGTTCCAAAATTTGTGTTCGGCTTTACAAATTAAAAATAAACCAAAAAAAATTAAGTTCCTTGAACAGCAGCAATGTGGCATTTCACATGCTGAGCAGTTTGGGAAGTAAATAAATAATCATGTTGGAAAAACACAAGACTATTGACAACATCATGATTTTAAAGTCTGATTTTTGAGCGGCCTTACAACACGGACCAGTCAACTGGCACTTTATCCACCGACAGCTCCAACAATATAAAGATGGCTCAGATGCTGATTTTTATCACGATTCTGTCCTGATTCTGCTGCAAAGTTAATACCATTTTCTTTAAGATCAGCCAGGCTGCAATATGTAAAACGTTACTAATGCGAAGACAAGTTTCCCGACAATCTGACAGGTCTTTGGAAAACGAGCTCAAGCTGCTCAAACTTTAAACAGTGATCATAAATTTCTGACGTCCAACAGATTCTCTCCAAAAGCAGATCAACTATATATCACAACTCTCGAAAACTGCAAAACAAAATCCAAATTCAAACTTATTCCAGTGTCTGCACAGCTGATGTAGGCCGAAGGCATAAAACCATGACATCGTTACAACAAGACTTACAGCATGTCTCAGTAAACATGTTTTTCAGAAACGGGGATGACTGAAATCGTGCAATCAGATGAAATATTTACACTGAGATTAAACTGAATCATAAATGTATATTTCTCAGAAGATATTGTTGCCATTTTTCCCCAATTTAGGAACGACAGAGACACAACACATAACCTGGTACTTGAATGTGAAGATGGCTCAAAGCGAATATATTACAGACTGATCCAATTACAGACTGCTCAGTGGGGACGTATCAGATTACTCTCTGCTCTTACCTCCTCGACGCTGAGGCCGAGGAATAAGTCCTCCAAAGGCTCGGTGTTGTCTCCTCCGTTGTCCTCCTGCAGGTCCTTCACTTGACTCAGGCGCTCCTTTTCGTCATCCTCCTTGGATGGAGAGACAAAATGTTTGGTCACATTTTGTTTTGCATCGATTAAATTCCCACTCAGTGGACATTTAAATAGATACTCCTTTAAAATCTTAGATTCTACCTTAATAAATAAAATAATACTGAGTTTTACTGACATCATCATCACATTTTATTGTTATAAGGATATATTTGTTTCCTTAGCACAGTCCTAAATCCTATAGTGTGCTACACATGACCACCACAGCCCAGTACGCAGCTAGTCTTTTATGTGGTGCCAAAAGCAGCTCAGTTTTACCAAAGTGTGGACTCTACTACCTCTTTTTCAACAACACGGTGCCCGTGATGGCGCACAACCACTTCTGCTTTTGTGCGTCATGGTGGACAGAATCTGAGACACGATGGTGAATTTGTTCCTACGGCAACTCGCAACAGTGTTGGCTCAGCAGCTTTGTGGCGTCGTGCCCGCGTAACGTTTTTGTCACCAAAGCCATTTTTCTAGTTGAAACACATGCAACTGGTTCTAGATCTATCGGGACTATTCCTGCTTTAGTGACAAAGGGCACAGAGTGAGGTGAGACATTTAACAGACGCTTGATTTTAAACGTGGAAGCTGCAAGTCGGAGCCAGCTCCTGACCAAAAGCATCCTCAAAACCTTACATCAGCATCCACCCAAACTGCCCGAAACTATTAAAGATGGACTGTTATGATCACTCCCAGTTCCATGTTTTAATTACTGGAGTAGCTTTGCATGATGTAGTACTGGTATTTGGTGCAGACGCTCAGTTTATCTTCTCTCTGAAACAAACTGCCTGAAACTGAGTGTTTAAAGCAATCTGAGCCTCATTATTTGAAATGTTGGCCATGCTTAACATCAGCATGCAGATTTATAAATGTATATATTTAACAGAAAATAAGGAAACACATAAAAGACCTCCTTTAAAAGGTCGTGATTTGGGCTTTTTTCAGTCCTCTGAGCTACAGTTTGTGAACACTCTTGTTCTTGGCAACTTTTTCTCGCCTGTTTGGCCTTTCCCCACTTCCACAGGAGATAAACCCAATAATTCTATTAACTCTAACCACTGCAAAGACGATTATGCTTCCCAAGTGGAAAGCCAAGCCTCTTTAAACTATCTGCAGAGCTGACACTGTTGTTAGGTTATGTTATGTACCTGGTCTTTCTTCTTCATCTCCTCCACCTGGCGGAGCTGTTCTGATGACAGCACGCTCTCGATCCTCTGCATGTCCCTCATAAGGAGGCGGTGAGACTCCAGGAATTGGTCGTTGGCTCGCTGCCATGTGTGCTTCAGCTGGTTGTGCTGCTGCCGCTCCAACTCCAGCTTGTGACAGACTGAGGTCATAAACAGCAGAGAGAAAGGCGAAAGACAAAGTTGGAGCTGCAGTCTAAACATGAACACACACACACGTCCTCCATGGAGTCTGCAGCTATACAGAAGTCATATACAAAACATTTAAAACCCTTTTACTGGCATTTTAAATCAAATTTAAGACCAAATTTGCAATGGAAATGCAAACTGGCATCAGTTCAAAATGAACACAATGGTAAAAGGAGCTTGTGAACGTTTATTAATGTGAAAAGCAAACAAAGGAACACCTTTAAGCTACAACACAGTTTGCTCTGCAAGCGTTTCCAAGCACCAGCTTTAACCAGAGCGTAATCATAACTCTCAAGCAACAACAACGAGCAGCCTGGCTAGAAAACCTTTCTGCTTCATCATGTTCAGGGTTTCTATCGTTGTACTGCAAGCACTAAATCAGGGTTGTCTAACAAGCAGTCCAGGGGCCAGAACCGGCCTATAAGAGGATCAGAGTTGGCCTTCCAGCTGGATGGCCTTGCTAAGTGTGAAAGTTGCAGTGAAGTTATGAATAAGATAAATTATTGGAGTCATCCAAAAACTCCGCATGGGAAGGTTTTCCACTTTTCCACTCCATCTCTCAGTTGTAATGTGCACATACTTAGAGCAGAGTCACTGAATGTGGAAAAGCTGAAATATATTACTGCGGTTTATTTTTCTAGGGACATCTCAGGCTATTTATCATTTTTTTATAAAGTGGATGACTCATAAACATTTTTGAATATTGTTCTTTACGGTGAAAGGAGGAAAAATTAAGAGAGTGTTTTTGTCACCTCTGTCATCAACATGACTGTTCGCTGAATATGAGCACTGGGGAAGTTTGTATTTTTTTGACTTTTTAACAACTCATATTCACTTGCCACTTCATTAGGTACACCTATTCAACTGTTTGTTAATGAAAATATCTAATCAGCCAATCACACTGTAGTAATTAAATGCATGTAGGCATGCGGACATGGTCAAGATGATCAGCTGAAGTTGAAGCTGAGCATCAGAATAAGGAAGGAAGCTGGCTTAAGTGACTCTGAACCAGATGGGCTGCTATGACTACTTGAGAAACTGCTGATCTGCTGGGATTTTTCCCACACAACCATATTTAGGTTGAAAGAAAATTGTGCAGAAAACAGAGAATATCCAGTGAGTGGTAGTCCTCGGGGCAAAAATATGGGGAAAAAACAAAAAACAGATTGCTTCAAGTTGGTAGGAAGGCAACAGTAACTCAAATAACCACTCGTTACAACCAAGGTATGCAGAAATGCATCTCTGAATGCACAATAAATCTGGAGCCTTGAAGCAGATGAGCTACAGCAGCAGAAGATGCCACTGCGTGCCTCTCTGAGGAACCTGAGGCTAAAACTTACATGCCTCACCTAAATTGGACCCAGAAGATGGGAGAATGTTGGCTGGTCTGTTGAGATTCGATTTCTGCTGCGACATTTTGATGTTTGGGTCAGGATTTGTAGGAAACAACATGAGGCATGGATGCATCCTGTATTAACAGTTGAGGTTGTTAGTGGTGTAATGGTGTGGGGGATATTTTCTGAGCATCGTTTAAACACCATTGCTGACCATGTTTATCCCTTTTTGACCATACTGTACCCATTACACGTGCTAATGCAGTGAATGTAAAGTAAGTAATTCGCTGTACTCAAATGAGCTTCACAGTCACCAGCTCTCAATCCAACAGAGCATCTTTGGGATGTGGTGGAATGAGAAATTACCATCTTGGATATGCAGCAGCTTTGTGATGCTATCATGTCGATATGGACTGAAATCTCTCAGGAGTGTTTCCAACACTGTGTTGCTCTCTGCCACCAAGAATTAAGGCAGTTCTGAAGACAAAAGGGCGTCCAACCCAAAAATAACGATGTTCCTAATGAAGTGTCCAGTGAGTGTAGGTTATTAGGCTACAGCTACTGTTTTACATATATAAAAACACATTGACAGAGACAGTCGAACTATTATTTTAACCAGGTAAAGTTCATGAATTTCTTTAATGTTACCTTTAAGTTGTCCAGCTGATATGTCCAGACTCGCACGCTCACTAATTACAGCAGACGAAATCATTCAGCGCTGTTTTTGAGAGAGGTTAATCGTGATTCGGTGCTTTGCTGCTGGAGTTTAGCTCGTTTCCAGAAAAGCACGTTTGTCTTAACGATGCAGTCGCGACTAAAGCGGCACTGCGTGCAGAAAAATAGGCATGAAAAAAAAGAAGAAAAAAAAAAAACACATTTCCAAAGTTAATCTAAAATAATTAACTATTTTTGAAAGCCTTTTATTAGTAAAGTGTTTTCAGAACATTTTACTGACTGGGGGCCACCCTGCCTTTAGCAATACAAGGACCTCTGAGATAAGCTGTTGTGTGACTGCTGGCATGATATGACTTCACAAAGCATCTAATTTTTTTAATTCGTCAAGCAATTTCCACAAGAAATTACCGTCATGAAGCTCCTTCCGTAGTTTCTCCGCATCCTCCTGCAAGACGGACTTCTGCGTGTTCAGCACAGCGACATACATCTCCAGGTCCGTACGACACGACTTCTCAGCCTCCAGAACGTGATTGAGCTCCTTGACCTGTGAAAGACAACGAGAAAAATAATTTATACGATTGAGAGCACATAAAAAAATCCTGGAATATAAACAGGAGCTGAGAGTCTAATAATCTAAGGTTACAACAATTTTAGCTGAACACCAGAAATCAGCTAAAAAGTTACTTACATGAAGTCTCAAAACTTCACTACTTAAAGTGATTTATCAAGAAACGGTGCCTCATTTTTTATTTGTTTTAATCCTTTATTATATTTTATTCATGATTATGTTTCTTCATTAATCTGTGGGTTCATTTATGCAATCTTCTCTGTAAAGCACTCTGAATTACCAAATTGAAATAAATCTGAATTCACTCAGCTCCATGATGACGGTCCGTTTTGTCAGAACAAATTCAAATCTACAAACTGAAGCTTACTGTTGTCAGCGGACATATATACAGCAGATATGGAGCTTCATTTCTTCAACTGGGTGAGAAACGTGTTGGTTTTTCAGCATTCTCACCCCCCTTTCAAACACTTTCGAAAGCTATAGGGATTTTTCTTTTTTCTTTATTTGTCCTGAATCAGTAACTTCTGTTCCCTGAATTTCTGTGACAGATGTGAGAAGAGTAAAGCTAGGATGAGCCACAGAGACACAACAGCTGCATCAACGGGAGATAACACAGGCTCAAATAAACTGGAATTACATCGTCCGACCATAAGAAGCTGAAATACTCCATAGACTCAGTGGAAACTGCAGAGCCAGTGATAAGTAAGAGTACAGCAGTCATACAGCAACCACAGCCAACCCTGTGTATGAAAATTTCAACTGGCAGTTGCTGGGGGTTTTTCCACACCTTTGACTGCTGAGTACTTATTACAGGTGCTGTACAATTTCATTTCTCTTTTTGCTACTGTATACTAAATAAAAATCTCACTTTTTATGTGAGTGCAAATTAGGGACCCTCCAAGGTAAAAACGAAAGAAAACACCAATCAAAATCAATTAGTCTGAAAACACTGAGAAAAGACGAGGTCAAACACTGCCCACATAAAAATGAGCCATTAAGACAATTAATCAAAAGCGTCACTAATCAAACAGTATTTTAAATGTCGCTGAAATTTGTGATGCCATGTATACGATAGCACACACGCACACAGTCCATGACTGTTTTTTATATAAAAATAATAATAGTTTGGCCAAGGGTAGTCAACATTAGCAGTGCTAGCAGCAGCAGTAGCCGTCCTTCCTTGTATATTAGCGTCCACACATCTGTGCTTTACAGATGATGCAGGTTATGCATCCCTCCGGTCGAGCAGTTACAGCTGACATACACCCACTCAGGACCTACATCACTTTACTGCAGCACCGCCCTGATTTGCACAGCTGTCTTTCACGCCTCAGGTTTAAAGTATGAATGATTCTTTTAACCACAGAGTATTTCTATTGCCGACTAGTGAGAACAAAAACGCTCAATCGATTAATCAACTGGCCAGTATTGAAAACAGTGAAGAACACTCTCAATACTGAATACTGAAGATAAACTGGTTTAAAAAGCAAGCTGTGCTTATGACATAATGAGCCATTTCAAATTAAATTCACTTACAGAGTGCTTAATAAGATGTCCAGCTAAGCACATGCAGAGTTTACTTAAAGCAACAATTATCCGTTATCTTACCAAACCAAAGTCTGTGCTTTTCCCCCCCCCAAAAGTTATTTAGAAATTATTTCACAGCTTAAAAATAAACAGTTATTAATGTCTTTATTACAATTTTTGTGATTCTCCCCTTTATGGGGGACTGAAACCTATTTAAATAAAAACAAAAAAACAAAAACAAAACGCAAAAGCATCAATTTCTTGCTGACTAACCTTCGAGGCCTCCAACTCCTTCACCTTCTCCTCGGCTGTGGCCAGTTTGGCCTTCAGGGCTGCGATCTCGTGCTCCATAGGCATCACTACTGAACGCAGCTTCTCTGCATCCTCCTGGGCCTTCAAAATAATTTGCATAAGATAATTATAAATGTGCACACATGGAAACATCTGGAAACATTATTTCCTTTAAACAGCAGATCATTAGTTAGATCTGTACATGTAGATGATAAAAGAAGAACCAGAGATGGAGTGTTGAGAGGCTGGATGATTATTTTTTTTAGTTTTTGTTGTTATTTTTGATACATTTTTGTTCAATTTGGTAAATCATGAACCTGTTTCCTAAGACTGTACAAATCCACAGTAGTTTCACAGACACTTAACACACACACAAATACACAAAACAATATAGAAAAAATACCCAATCAACAGGAAATACAAAGTACAACACCTAAATTCGTGAACTTCAATGCAAATAAAGCCTAAAACATCAGCTTATTTGTATCACGCTAAAGAACACAGTAATATTTTAGGAAAACATACCTGCCTCCAGGTCATTTAAAATTAGCTTTAATTTGTTCCAATAAATCAGCTCCTTGAGTTTTAGCTATTTTCAGCTCTTCAGCTTTTAGACATTTAAGGGCTCAAAGCAAATGTGTCCATAATCTGATTAATAATCTGATCCAACCAGATGATAAACAATTCAAAGATTTGCATGTTCCTGCAGCTATGTGCTCCTCAGATGATCACGACTCCCAAGTTGGGATCTTATTCCTCTGAAGTCACAAAGATTTGTTGATGAATTTGGACATTACAAATTTGATAACATATATTTTAATGTTAAAAAAGAGATTTGAAACACATTCATTTGCACTGTTAACCAAAACCTTGTTACAATAAATGAAGAATTATTACCAACTCTTCACCTCAATGACTGAACTCACATCACTGGGAGATATTTATCAGATTTCACAGCTTCCTCTGCAGCTACAAATGGCTTAATAAAACTTTTAAATCACAACAGCAGCACAGATCTTGATTACAGAGCTCCTCTTAAAAATGTTTCCCTGTCTTAATTAAGATGTCTCTTAGAACGTGGGTGAGGGAGAGGGCCAGCAGTCCTCATTCCATTTTTACTAAGCATGGGCAGATCTTTAAGACAGCCAGTCAAAACTGCAGCATGTGAAAATAATGCTACCGTTTGGATGAACTTTTCTTCCTGGCAATGAAACACAGTTAAAAATGCATCTGACAACAAATGACACACAGTCCCAGCCATGAGCAGTGTGAAACTTGAAAGCTCTGATATGAATTTTGGAACTGGCCTGCAAGACTCAGTATTGCTTAAGACACAGGAAGGAGTCCAGCTGGCCGAAGCATCTGGGACATTGCGTTCTGTTCTCTGGTATCCATCTTGTATTTTTTTTAAAATTTATTTTATTTATTTATTTTGGGGGGGGGAGAGACTTGAGAGGAAGCAAACAAACTTCAGAAAGTTAAGATTCCATATTAGCAGAAATTAAGGGAGTAGACAAAACTTTGAAAAATGCACGTAGCAGACATACTTTCTTCATTTCATCCTCCAGGTTCTCCTCCTCCTGACCCTCGGAGAGCCGGCGCCTCAGCTCGCCCAGCTCCCTCTCCACCGCCTCGCGATACTGGTTCCACTGGACACGCTCCTGCTCCAGGCGTTGGTGGAACTGGACCTCATACTCACACACAGTGTCTGCACGGGGAGAGGAGAGGAAGCAGGCGATGAAACCGAACAATAGCACATCCACATCGAGTCGTGCAGTCAAGCGTGAATACATAAAAACAGGAACAATATTTCTGATATAGGTGGGGGATAATTTTCATTTCAAAATGTTTTTGTGATGGTTATTCATGATAAAGAAGTAGACAACAGATTTTTAGAGTTGCGTTTATTTTTTTAAATCAGTTAATCTTTCAACTATTTTCTTGGTTTACTGTCTTAAACTAGTTAAAATTTACTTACAAAAAGTCTATAACACCCTTGTTTTGTACAACTCATTTCAAACTGGTTTCTTGAACCTGACAGGGAGTTCACCGTACTCAAATGACCTCTGCAGTCACCAGGTCTAGTCCAATAGAGGACTTTTGGGATGCAGTGGGCATTCACATCCTGGATGTGCAGCCGATAAATCTGCAGCAACTGTGCGATAGCACGTGAATGATCTCCTTTTTACCTACATGTTTAATAGAAAGTTTATCATCTAGCCAAGATTCCCTCCATGCCGAAAAAATCTTTTCGCTACAGTCCTCTGATCTGACACTGGCCTGGATCAGAGGGCTCAGTGTGAGTATGAGCCAGCAGATGAAGACACTACACTACACACAAGCGTCACAGGTAGTTCTCACTGTGAAGTTGAGATAAGTGAGTAAAAGAAAAATTGTCTCAATCTGAAGAGACAATATTCATATTTGGTTGAATTTATATGGAATGACTCAACTGTTAAATGACTGTTATATGACAATGTCTGTAATACTGCAGTTATTAGAAGTTTTAAGTGTAACCATTCTAAATTTGTTAATAGCGCACTAAAAATTAACAAATTATGTGTAAATAACATCCTTTTTCTTAGACTAGCATCCCCAAAACTGTCTGAAGATCACTTCCTGTAGTTTCAGGAGTTGTTAGTGCACAGACTTTGGTCATGCTTCCAGTGTGAATGCAGAGCAATGATGACATGATGAAAGACAGGAGGAGATTTCTGATTGGTTTTTACTACTGATGTGCAAATTTGGTTCTATGAGGTGCAATGTCATCATATTTGTTGAATTTTTTTTGTAAGGACTACCCGGGGTGTTCTTCAGTAAGACACAAGGAACATCAACAGAGGCAGTTACACCTTACTATGACACCTGATTATGCCTACGTAACTTTTACAGCCACTTTTAAGGCCACCAGACTCCTTTACAAAAAGTGGAACTTCGCTTGACAGAAAACGAAAACCAGAATACAACTTTCTGGTTTTAACTCATTGATTCAAATGTCAAAAGACGCATAAGAAATCAAGGAAATCAGCTGTGGAGCAACAAATTAAGTGAGCTGAGATGTTAAATTACTGCTGTAATCCAAGGAGACTGAACAGTATAACAGTTCCCCCTCAGAGAGAGCTGTCTGGCAGCACAAAGATAAAAAATATTTTTTAATCAATAGTTACTTATTCACATTTGTTTGTGTTATGGTTTCACTGCGACCTCACAGTTAATGTAGTGAACAAACAGCTGAGACAGCAAGCCTAGTCTAACTGGTTTGTCTGCCTGTGTACAGATGAGCTGCACACATACCACTTCAGTCAGGCTGAGGCGACAGATGAGTTGAAATTGTATGCAGTGTATGGATTGTGTGTGTGTGTGTGTGTGTAGTCTGTGTTTCATAGAAACCCTGGCAGCTTGGGTAACATTAGAAAAGATCACCAAATTTATGGTTGTGTGTATTAGAATTATTCCAAATAAAGTTTGAAAATGAGTTTCCCAGTATAGCGTGTTAAAGTATGGGAAAAACCCTGGAACAACCAGAGTGATGGAGTGTAGTGGTTTAAAATATTCATCTACAAATGCAAAGGTCCCTAGTTCAGTTCCAGGGGTTGACACAAATCCTCTGCGTGTTGCATCAGTAAGGCCACTGGTTATAAAAATCTGCTTGTGAATTAGCAGCTTTTATACGCCACTCTCTTCATGCCTTTACAAATCAAATGATCATTATCTACCTGAAGCCTCGGTCCCTCCCTCTTTAATTACATTAAGCACAACGGGCATAAGTATGCACTGTTTTCACAGTTAACAGCTTTCATTCACACTTTACTGCTGCACAGACAATCACAGGACAGCTTCATTCATAATCACAAATATTCAGAGGATCTACTGGAGCTTATTTCAGCATGTTGATAGTACTGTTCTGGTTCAATTTACTTTAAAATCAAACAAACTTTCAGTGCATCTCACATTGGATCCATCTAGGCGCTAAATTAAAAGCTCTATTGAAGTACAACTAGACGTTCCTCAAATTACATGTTTTTTCTTGGTGTGTACAATGGATTATAGGAACTTGCCTCACTATTAATGACATTTTGATACTTCTGCAGCAGTAACAATTACTGAAAATGAACTGTTAAAAAGGTTAAACATGTATCAATATTACATTGTATTAAAAGATCTATTCCAACATACATATAATGAAAACTTTCAACATTGTTTTATGTTTTAAATCAGTAAAAATCAACAAGTGCTAAAAACAAGAAAACTGGATTAAATCAATTAGATTTACTTCACAACTAAAGAAAAAAGTCGAGTCAAAGATTAAAACCAAAATGTAAATATTGCACAAAACCTTAGGAGTGCTTCTTGTGACCAACAGCACATCGAGACTGAGTTTAAGCATTGATTATATCATCTAATTTTCATTTTGGAGCAGCGGTTAATAACCCCACTGTGACTGCACTACAATCAGGTCATGTTATTCTACATTAATCTTTATTCCTATTACATGCACAGCTCTCATGCACAGGTTGGTCCCTGCACGTTGCCGATATGCTCACTTTAATTTGTTTGAGATATGATCGTAAAATGTCAAAGTCTGACTAAAAGGTGTCTGATGTACCACCAAAGATCACGCTCTAGAACAGGGATGGGGGAACTCCAGGCCTCGAGGGCCGGTGTCCTGCAGGTTTTAGATGTGACCTTGATCCAATCACAGCTGATTTAAATGGCCAAATTACTTCCTCAGCATGTCTTGAAGTTCTCCAGAGGCCTGGTAATGAACTAAACACTCAGGTGTGTTGACCCAGGGTGAGATCTAAAACCTGCAGGTGGTTTACAACAGGGACGCTGGTTTTAATACTCTCAGTGGAAGTCTTGTGTGTGGCCTTGTACTTGTTCCTCTAGTCCAGCTGGTGAGTAAAAATTGTTTTAGTATGGCCAAAAAAAGATTTGTCTGAGCCAGCATAACATGGCATACATGTGAATCATGAACTTGTGGTAGAAGTCCACGTTGACAATCTGAACTTAGAGGATGAATTCACAGAGCATAACCTGATGAACGTTTTTAAAGAACGAACAAGTAGTTTGCAAACTGTGGACTTGTTGACTGAAAATCACAGAGTCATAGGAGGAGACCGAGTCACTTTGAAACATAAGTTGATCCCAGGCTGCACAGCGCCAAGTGGACTTCCAGGGATTGATCTATGAATAGAAGCTGCACTGGAAGCCAACCAGACATGAAGGGGACCTTGAAGGTGAAATCAACAAGCTTTAAATCAGGTAGAGCTTTTGTTTTTGTTTTCTGGACCTGCCTTCAGAAATGTTTTGATCACACCACTTAAATGTAAACAATCTTTTAGAGAATATATTCATAGTGTTATCAATCTAAGTAAATACCCTCCCAAATAATAAGCAAAAGAGCAATGATATTAGGAATAGAGGTTTTCACTGCTCACATAGCGTCAGGCTCCATTTACCTTTCATTATGGCCTGCAGGGAGGCCACCTCCTCCTGCCATTGGCTGCGGACTTGGTCGATGGCTTCCTGTTTGGTGTTTTCCGACACGGTGGCGACAGCTTTGATGGTCTCTATCTCAGCCCGGGCCTGAGAGAGCTGGGTCTGGACGGAGCTCAGCTCGGAATGGGCGTCCTCCAGTGCAGCTGTCTGCCTCTTCAGCTCCTCTGGAGAGAGGTGAGACATGAAATGAATGATGGGAGGAGAGAAGAATGCACAATGTGACACTTGTGTATTTCAGACTTTTTTCCTTATTCAGCACAGTTGTTTATATATTTTAAAAGAAGAACCTTTCAGTGTTGCACCTCAGCATGCACGAGTTCAATTCAAACAGACAGTTTAAAAGGCCAAAGATGCTCCACAGCTATGTCCAACAAGACACTTTACATTGTGTAGAGTTTTATGACCATCCACACCTTCCTTGGAGAGGTAAAGCTCTTTGAACTTGGCCCGCTTCTGGTTGAACTCCACCTCCAGCTGCTGCTTGAGTTTGATGAACTCGGCCCTCTCCTGCTCCAGAGCTGCCACTCGCTGCTGTAGCACCGCTGAATGATAATGAAGGAGGAAAAAAACAAAACAAAATTAGCTGCTGATTACATGTAGCTGAAAAGTAATCATTCAAGTCAAAGGGCAAACATCCACAAAAATCAGTGCACTCATTACGTCGTTTATCTCATTACTAAGGACTCAAATCAGAGGGTGAATAAAAGCTAACAAGCCCTAAAATGATATGAATACAAATTATTATTGATGCTTTTGGGATAAATGTGGTTCTTAGAAATTATGACAACTTTCAATTTTATGATTACATATATCTAATATAATCAAACCAATAAGTACAACGATTAAATCACTGAATTCCTTGTATGGTTCAGCCATAATGTTACGCAAATGTTAAATGTAATTAGGCTGAAATATGTGTTATTACATCCAGTACTATCTAATCTACTGATCATTAATGTAATAATGTGACAAAACAGTACAGACTAAATGTCTCTGGATAGCGATACAGAAATGAAAACATTAACAAATAATTTATTATTACGAAGTAGCAAATCTGCAAAATTTGAGAACTTGAACTACTTGGGAACTAAGACTACTTTTTACTTTAAACAAAAGTTCTAAATAGTGATTTTTGCAGATTCGTTTATTAATATAAGAGAGGTCATGTGGTTTCATGTGGACAGTTACTTAACTTTTATTATACTAGCATGTTTCAGCTCGTGACACCTTTAAAAACAGAGTAAAGTCCACCAGTGGCCTCTTTTACAAGGCTGTCAGCAGTCAGCTAAATGGAAGCTTTTTCTTAGATAATTTTAAATAACTTCTAGATATATCATATGTAGAAGCTCATAAGAGAAGTGTGAGGAAAAATAAATATAATGTATGTGGCATTAGTCGTTTATAAACATTTCATAAACAATCACATTTACTGATTGTTTTTAACCTTTTAACCTTTTTAACTTTCCACGTGACCATCACCAGTTTGACTGAAAAAAAAATCCAGGGGAAAGATACACTTCTTAAATGAAATAATGAAATATTTCAGGTCATTACTGTCACAAGTTTTGTAGTATCGTTTTAAAATTTTCAATATGGAGAAAGCTACTTACTATTTTGGGGGGGTAAGGATCTAAAACTATAGCTTTATGAATATGGACTATCACGATACTGTGGACAAATAAGTATTTAAAAAATGTATATGTAGAAAATATTTAAAAAATTTTGAATGTAATGTTAACAAAAACTTGGTTCTTTCTAATAATAATAATAATAATAATGAGTGGTGTCATCCCTGTTTTTCAGATAAATCTGGTTCTTATTAACTATGAAAAACATCTTCACATCATTTTATCATTTAATATATCTAGAATAATAAAACCGATAAGTACGCCCCTTAAAGATTATTTTAGAAAAACATCTAAAAACAGACTCACCTTTATTACTTACACACTTGCATTTAATGAACCATCTTGATGAACACCCACATTTAAATTAAAAACAGCACATCTTATTACATGTGTGCTACAATGCACAGTGGATCTACTAAAGCACAAAACCTTCAGCGTCAAATGAATAACATATTTTACTCCATTATCAAACTTTAACTCAAACTTGACAAGATCTTCAAATGCTTTTTTATTGTTGGCATCACCTCACCGAGCACTGGTACGTGCAGTGCAAGATATTTTAGCCATCCACTGAACTGCTGGGACGATTTTCATGATTGACATGATTAAAAATCTTGCTCTGCTTAACTCGGATGAGCTGGATATTGAAGCGTTACAAACACATGCTGCCATCAGTAAAGTTGCAAAGTGCAGTCTTGTTCTTGTGGGCAAACTATCCAACATCAAGATGCAGAACCTAGTTAAAGGGCCTTTCTCCTCTCTCCTTTGTCGTGTTTGTTTAGCCAGCCATTATAAATAGGTCAATACTAATATCAGCTGATAAATTGTGCCCACCAATATATCAGTCAGGCGACGCATAAAATGAAGTATAAAAACCTCCCGCCAGCAAACACAACCAGACACTGGTTTTCCTACGGTCCTACATTTTCCTACTTCTTCATCTCTTATTTAAAACCGCAGCGATACAGATAAAATCCTTAAAGCCAGACAGCCAAACGGAAACATTTACGAGCAGCCGGACGGTTCAACTCAATTCCACCATGATCATCTGACAGCCAAACAAAAGGAAACACTAACTCCATCGCCACGTATTCATAAGTTTGTGTTGTATTCAAGCACAGCATATATCAAACTCCTTTTCTCACACTTACCTCAGCTCAAAAGCTCTGCATCTTTTCCTTCTTGGTATTAAAATAAAAGCTGACTGCTCTGGTGTGTAACCGATCACGTCAGGAAGCCACAAAGATCACATGATAGAGCGCATAAAGAAAGTCAGTAATTAACCAATTTAACAGCAACGCCAGTTCATGATGATGCAAATATAACAGAGGCTCAACCTCACAGCAGCGTTTTTGCCTTTGCTTGATAAAACAGTGACGGTTTGAGACAGAAAAGTGGGGACAGAGTGAGGGAAGGAACATAGCAGAGGGCCCTGGGTTGGACTCAAACACCAAGCCTAGCGGCATAAGATCATCTGCCGAACAAGGTGAGTTAAACTGACGCCCGGCAACAGATTACTATTGTAAAAAGGAAGCACACCCACTTTAAATTCTAAGATATTAACAACAGCATGTGACATATCACACCGTTTCTCTATCTATTTGTTAGTAAGTAAGCCAAAAATGCAGAAGCAGGCCTCAGTTAGCAACTTAAATGTTAAAGTTCATAATAACATAATTAGAAAAAAAACAGGCCAAATATGGCTTCATCGAAAGGGCTGCCAGTAGAAAGTGTCTTCTCACCAAGAAAAAAAAAAACATGGCAGAACGGCAAAGTTGTATCTGACCAAACGACAAGACTTCTGGAAATCTGTCCAAGGCTAATAGGACTAAAGTGGAGATGTCCGGTTTCATCAGGTCCACACCTTGCTTGTCACATCCATGTTCAAAATGCCAAGAAAGCAAAGGCAAAAATGATCAGGGCTTCATAACCAGATCCCACACAGAAGGTGGTTGATATCATGTGACACCGCAAAGGAAGGAGTGTTTAAGAAGCAAGTCTTGATGCAGGGGTACTGGAAAAAAGTGACATTTAATAACAAAAAATGTAATAACACATTACAGGAAGCTGAAATAAAGTCAAAAGACAGCCTTGCAGCAATCCACCACTTCATCTATTTCGCATGTCTCTCCAGCCCAGGGGTGGGCAACTCCAGGCCTCGAGGGCCGGTGTCCCTGCAGGTTTTAGATGTGTCCTTGAACCAACACAGCTGATTTAAATGGCTAAATTAGCTCCTGCAGTTCTCCAGAGGCCTGGTAACAAACTAATCATGTGATTCAGGTGTGTTGACCCAAGGTGAGATCTAAAACCTGCAGGACACCGGCCCTCGGGGCCTGGAATTGTCCACCCCTGCTCCAGCCTCACCTGCATCCTCCTAAATAAGCACAGGTAAACAGGGTGGTAACTTCCTAACCTGTGCTGAGTAACCCAAAATATAAACACACATAAGGCTATAATCCTAGTTCCTGCTGACATACAACTTAAGTTTTCACAGTACTCTAAGCAGTTCTGTGAAAACCTAAGTTTGTTCTTACTGCTCCACAAGTTTAACAGGGTAAGTAGTAGCCAAGTACCGCTAATCAAATGCAGTTGTTTAATTGATCAGCAGCATGTGTGACAACTTCTATAAAAGACTTGGCCATTTGCTGGTCTGTGGTGTTCAGGTGTGTGTTAATGCCATGACATTCCAAGGACTGAACATCCCAGCAAATTCACCAAACGTCAAATGGTGGTGCATTTCTCAGAGAAACTGCAAAAACACCCAAGAAATACATCTCAGACTACAGGGCTCAGTTAGCCTGTTAAATGTTAATTCATAACACTACAATTAGAAAAAGACTGAAGAGGTATGGCTTGTTTAGAAGGGTTGCCAGGAGAAAGTCTGTTCTTAGGTTTGCAAAGCTGCAAAAACAAATGTCCTTTGGACATACGAGATCAATGTGGAGGTGTCTGACCACAATGAACAGCGCCACATCACGCCACATTACGGTGATGGAGGGGTGATGATTTGGGCTTGCAATCCACCATGATAATCCAGTCTTCTCTGTATTCTAGAGTCAGATGTGATGGCATCTAGCTGAAAGTTCAAACTTGACTTAACTTTCCTGCAACAGGAAAATGATCCCAAAAAAGCAGAAAGTCTATAAGAGAATGGCTGAAAAAGAAAATAATCAAGGTGCTGCAACGGTCCAGACCTCACAATGAAATACATTGAATTAATTCCAGCCACCTCAATTCCAACCTCAATGGACTGACGCAACATTGAAAAGGAGAGTGGACCAAAAATCCTCCACACCACAATCAGAGACTGATACAGTCATACCAAAAACAATTACTTCACGTTAATGCTGCTAAAGGTTGTTCTGCAAGCTACTGAATCAGGGTGTGTACTCAGTTTTTCACACACTGCTTCTGCATTTATGCTGTTTCTCTCAAATAAACATGATATGATGTCACATGATTATATTTAAACAACTCTAGAACTTGGTAAATCAGAATAAAAAAATAGTAGCTAAACCTTTAAAACAAAACTGAGTAAATGCTATCTGTCCTTGACTCACCCTTTGCATACAGTTAGAAAACAGGGCTTCCCTTCATATTTTAACTATCCAGACTGTTTAAATGTTAATTTCATGTGAAAATATTGTCTGGTGGGGAACAAAAACTAATCATTAGTGAGCCAGTCTGCTTCACAGGTGAACTGATGAGTAGAAACACTGTCATTGGTATTTTATACCAGTTTCAAGTTAAACAGGCCCTGCATTTTCAGAAGTAAGTAATTCCCTCAAACCTCACGACTGAATGAAGGTAGGCCCGTTACTAATTACTGTTTCAAATATTCAAATCCTCCGTTTACTCACTGCAGGCAGCGCTTTGCACTTTGAACAGACACCGTCTTTTGTCTGGCTGCTTTTAATATATATTAAGATAAAAATAAAACCGCCACAAAGCAGTTTCTTTCAGTCTATTTTACCACCACCCTTTGTAACCCACTCACACAGCAACTTTTGCTCAACAGGTGCCATTGTCAAGAAGTAATGACATGTGTATGACTGCTCAGCTCAAAGCAGCACCATTACTAACACCTGGCTCTCCAAAAATCTACAGGTATCTGCAGCTCAGTGGGTGAGCAGGTGACCATAGCCCTTTGCTGCGTGTCTTTCTCTCTCTCTTTGCCTAAAGTCAAATGCCAAAAAATAATATTGGAAAAAAAAACCCCAGCTTTGTTGAGAAGTCATTAACACAACCAAAGCAATACCAACAACACAATTTTGCATCACACCAGATGATGCTGAACACAAAGTGCTTGTATGCCAGCGAATATGCAAGACCTTCCCATTATTTCTAGAGGTGCATGTGTGCCAAATTAAATAATAAATAAAAGAGCCACCTTTTTTCAGAGGCTACATTTATGGGTCGTCACAGGAGATCATCTGCCCCCATCTCACCCAGCCCCTAGTACTCTGCTCTGTTACACCAACACTCTTCATGTCCTCCCTCAGTACACCCATGAAACATCTCTTTTTGTCAGTCAGCATGGTCATCTTGTAAATCTTCCCCTTCGCTCTTGCTTTTATCCTTCTGTCAAAATTCACTCCCACCCTCGTCTCCATCGGCACCACCCTTGTTGCACTCTCATCTTCATCTCTCGTGTATACTCCTCATTGTTTTGGATTGTTGATTCCAGGTAAACTCCTCGACCGCCACTATTTCTACTTGTTGCATTTTCATTGTTACACCTGTCTCCCTCTCATTCACATACAATTTCTATTCCTTTCTCTCCAGAGCATACCTCCACCTCTCCAGGCTGCACCCTATTCTCCTTACAGATCACTATGTTGATCTGTGGCAAACATCACAGTCCATTGAAAATCCTGCCCGACCTCATCTGTCAGCCTGTCCATCATCAGAAGCAGCTCAGAGCATATCCCTGATGTAATCCCACCTTGAACCCATCTGTCACTCCTACCACACACCTCACCAAGTGCCATCTTAAAACATTATGTACAGGTCTATTTATAAGGCATAAAAACAAAGGTAACCACTAGGAGATGCTCCCATCCCTCAATCTCTAATGTGTGTGTGGATTTGTGACAGACTCTCAAGCTACAGAGTGTCTGTAATATTACCTCCGAGGACGCATAAAGCTTAAATTGTTTTGCATGTATTACCGTTGTCGCAGTCTATTTTGTTTAACATAAACCTGGACTGGAATTCTTCACACAGTTTGTAGAAAGTGGGAGCCCCACGTTCAGCTCCTGAAGCTCCAGATGCTCTCAATGCCGCCTCTGGGTCCCTGGACCTCGGCTTGATAACCAAAGGGAAAGCCTCCTGCAGGATTTGTCAGTATCCCGTGCACACCACAGAGCACGGCCACCGATGCAACCCATATGACTGACCCTGTCAGTGCAGGGCCGGACTGCCAGAGGCCAGAGCAGACCTTTAGATCAAATTAGTCAGACTAGCCAGAGCTAGGAGCTAACCAGCTAGGTGTAACATTACTAAAGAGACAACCACGTTAGCTTGGATATGTCACACATGCACCTCATGTTCAGCTATACAGAGCTTCAGTAAGTTTCCACAAATTTGTGAACCACTGCGCAATGTTAAATGCCCAGCATGAGGCAGTGACACGTCGCATTGAGGATGCTAACTAGCTAATGTTGCCAGTGATGCAGAGGCCGTCGCTGGCTTCGCTGCTCCCAGCCCCTCAACACACCCACCACAAACCGCCAAAGACACAAGAAATTTACCGTCATGTTGGGACGACTGAGGGGATCCCGAGGCCTCCGAGGCCATGGTTTCCTGAGGGGGGCGTGAGGCAATTAGCAGGGCGGTGAGATCAGAGCTAGGAGCGTCCAAGAAAACAAGCTAACATCACAACTAGTGTCAAGCTAGCGACGAAAGAGTGCGACTTCTGGTTTGTCTTTCAAAATAAAATCACCACTTGTGAACTCCCCAAAAGGCCTGCGTTTATTCGTAATGTAAACCAACATAGAAATAAATACAAGACAAAATAATCATATATTTACTTATTTCGAAAGTTACTTTCATATCTGTCCACCACTTAGCAGTTTTGTGCTAATATTTTGAAAGCACAGAGTCATTTTCCTATAAGTAAACAGCGTTAGTTTCCCAATTCCGGTGTCACCTTTTTAAAATAAAATCGACTTGTTTTTTCCCCCCCCCCAAACTAAATCTCGCTTTCAACAATTAATTCTTAACAGAAAACAAAAGAGATATTTATCAACAGATGATATAAATCCCAATTATTGTGAATGTGCAGCTGCACAGGAAAACACCTCCCTAAAGATTACACTATGATAAACTGATGTAAAGTCATGATTTATAAGAGGAACTGAAAATGTGAGAGACCTACACAAGAGTCCAGTGTTCAGTGCTGACACTGGCAATGTTTGTAGTTTAAGGAATATGTATTAAAAATGTTAATTTGAACCTGTTTAAAATATCAAAATCTGTCATCTGTGATGACATTTCTATTCCGACCAAATAAATAAAACAAAAACAATTTTCTCCAACTGAAGTATTAACACAGATGTGTAAATTTGTCATGCGTGTCTGACTCTCCTTATAGCCTCACACAAACACCCACATGATTTGGTCACTGGTGCATGACAGGGGGTGGGGATAATCCAGTCTCAGCCTTCATGTTTCTTTGGTTAGGTAAGAAAATTAGACGATGGCATGCAAAGATGCAGCACATGATGAGTCCTGTCATATCTAGACACCATCCGCTTTCACCTTCTGTTTACTGAAACTGCCGTCCTTCTTTAACCAGAGATATGGAAGAAAGGTAAGGCACTTATTTGGAGTATTTGGAAGTTGACATGTATTGAAATAACACTTTAATTGCATTTTTTGTGATAAAAGTCATTCTATTCTTATCCATAATTAGAGATAATACTTAAAAAGTGGTTATCAGGTCTAACTGCAGTGAAAGGCGTCACGTGTCAAAGCAGACAGTAAACTGTTATGTGCTTTCATGTCCGAATATCACTTTATCTTGCATGGCTGTATTCTGAATCAGCAGTATTTGTAACTGGAAGTTGGCAGGAAGCGGCTGTGTAGAGAGGATGCCGGGCATGAAGATAAACTGGGGAACGAGTATTTATATCATTCCGTTCACAGCGATAAAGGCACATAAATACATCCGTCCAGCTGGAGTAAACAATTCACTTTAAAGCTGACCTTCTCTTTCAGCTTTAAGTAGCTCAGATACTTTGGCTGAGGTTGTCTGAAGTGAGAACAAAAACTGAGACGTTTTGATGGTTGGCAGTGCAGTTGGCTCAGAAGAGTCCCTAGAGGTTATTGAGGTGCCTGTTTGATTCTCAGAATGCTAATCTTAATACAAAAATAACCCCAGGACTTAGTCAACACAGAAAAAAAGAGGAAGTGGTTGAATGGCCTTCTTTCCGATCCCCAGCTCTGTGTATACTGAAAAGCAGCGGCTCAGATGTGTTTCTCGTGGTGAAGTGTTCAGACTTTTTTGTTTCTTTTTTAAATCCTTCAAACAGTGCGATCATGGCGTTTATCCGCAAGTACCTATGGTTATGGGTGGTCATTGGCATGGTTTTCGTGTCTGTGGTGATCAGCATCATCTTCATGTTCATCTGCAAGTGCATATCAAGAAAAAGAGGTAGGTTTGAATCTCTGCAGCGCACCTGCCACTAAATACTGAACAAGCCTTCATCTGCACATCAACGACATACATTTTTACTGCTTTTTTCCTGTTTTCACTCAGATTTATTCTCTTCCCCTTCTTATAGCAGAAAGGTTGAATTGAAACCCCGATAAGCGAAATGTCAAAACATTATGCAACAAGTGTTTGGGAGCTTTAGAGAGTGCGTGAAGGTGTTTTCCTGTAAGTTTGTGTAGAAAAGTTCATTTCAGGAATGGTGTTTGTCCATTTGGTTGTGTGAGCTGTCAGACAGCTTTTTTAAGGTGTGGACACACTGAAACTGGTTGCGTGGTTCAGGAACCGATGCCTTTTTTTCTGTATACACTGTGTACACCCTGTAGCCAAACAGTCCAGTATTTTTGTCATTCGTATTTGCTTTTTTTAGGCATGACTGCTATTTTAAGCCATGAATGTTAAGATTTTTACCGGTATTAAAACAACTTAAATAATTTCTTGTTATTCTTTTTAAATTGCTGATAAAGCTCATAAGGTAACACTTAAAAATGATGCATGTGCTTTTAATTTTTTTCCCTGTCACAAGTAGAAAGATCTAATTCCAGATGTGAGCATGTGCAGAACCCCACCATTCTGCAGTGTTAAATTGCTTGAGAGGCTTTAATCTGTGGTGGCCTTAACTCTGCTCGTGAGTCTGGATGTTCACATATGACATTATTTAACTATATATGCACAGCAAAATGAAACTTACTAAAAGTATTTTTTTAAAGAGAAAAAGAAAAAATTCCATTAAATAAAGCAAGATTGGTAAACAACACCTCAATATATTTTACATACTGGTGTCATTTCCAGTAATTTTATTTGCACAAAAAGTGTTTTTAAAATATGTTCGTTCAGCAACCTTAGAGCTTAGTTCAGTTTGTGATTTGGAACAAGCCAGAACAAAACAGAATAGAGCTAAACTCACTTTCTAGTCTTAAGATGCTATGTGATGACAGTGAGAGGAAACGTTATATGGCACTTACTGAATTCAAGACTGATACATTAATAAGATGCCATCATTGCAACAGTCAACCTGTGAAATTTCTTCCCTGCATGATCAGTTGTAGATCTTATCATTGCAAGTATGACACCATCTAAGAGCCCCAGCAATGCAGCCACAAAGTGGCAGACCACATACATTTATAGAGTGTAGTCACTGAGTGCTGAGGCGTGTGGTGTCTAAAACTCACCAACGCCCTGCTGATGCAGCCTCTTCAGAGTGTCCCAAGAGCTCCATGCCATGGGGGTGTCCATGGCTGAACAGCTCCTGTAGGTGTAACGTGTAGGTAGCCCTCTACTTTTGTCCATATAATGCATCCTAATATGGTCATCTAAGGCACATAGCTCTACACCATTGCTTTCTGTTTAAGAGGGGCAGTCAATCAGAAGTAGGATAACTTAAAGAGAGAAGAGTTAAAATGCCTTATTTAAACAGAGGAAATAACTAAGGGACCGTAAGACTGGTCGGAATGAGATTATTTTGAGCTGTGACCGGTGCAAAGTTACTCTAGTTCAAAAAAAAAAAAATATGGAGTTACAGGAATCCCTGTATAATAATGCATACACTATTTTTTTTCTGATACTTTAAATGTGTTTTTGGTAGCACTTTCTATTACAGCATGGTAATAAAGGGGTAATAGTAGGGTAACAAAGGGGAAACGAGAGGGTAATAATGTGGTAATCTCTAAGTTATTGCTATGCAATTACCAAAGTAATAACCATGTAATATCCAAGTAATATTACACGGAAATTTGTGTAATTGGATAATAAGGGCCCCAAAACTGTGGGTAACAATGTGGAAATAGAGCTCGTTAATAAAGTGGTAATAGTAAGGTAAAAAGGAAGTGACAATGATGTAATAATGTGATCATTTATAAATTATTACCACTTTACCTGCGGTAGTTTCTGTGTAATAAGCACAAAACAGAGCTGCAAAATGCAAAACTGTCTGCATCTATTTAATAGCACATCAATAACCTGTTAATAACCTATTAATTAAATGTGTTTGATTGTTACCTGGAATTAATATTATGGAATTATTATGTTATTAAATAGAAACGAGCAGTTTGCATTTTGCAGCTCTGTTTCCTTTTTATTACACAGAAACTACCTGAGATATTTCTAGGTAATAACCACACTTCTTTAAGTTAGCTTTAATAGGTTATTCATATGTTATTAAAGAGAAACAGGCAGTTTTGCATTTTGCAGCTCGGTTTCCTGCTTATTACACAGAAACTACCATGGGTAATTCAGTAGTAATAACGTAGAAATTACCACATTGTTACGTTCTTCTTTCTTCCTTGTTACCCTACTATTACCCCTTTATTACCGAGCTCTATTTCTATATTATTACCCCCAGTTTTGGGGCTCTTATTATACTATTACATACATTTCAGGATAATATTACTCAACTGTAATCACTATTGCTACCATGATATCACTTGAATATTACATAGTTATTACTTTGCTAATTGCATAGTAATAACTTAGAAATTACCACATTATAACCCTCTTGTTTCCCACTTGTTACTATTATCCCTTCATTACCGAGCTGTGATAGAAAGTGCTACTGTTTTTTTACTGTAAATATACTGCTTACAGTATATTTACAGTATACTGCTTGTCCTGTGATGGTATTGTACGGTCTCACCTCTGTATTATGCCCTCAGGTAACTGAGGTTATGAGCCCACGAACCTCTCTCAGTGACCTGGGCTTTACTGTTATTTATCCTGGACTTAGGAATAATCTTCCTTCCACATAAGAATCTGCCCACCAACTGGCCGTTTTGAATCACCTTCCTCTTTTTAGTTCCTTTTAGTCACTCATGGTTTGGTCTTTTATTTGACTGTTTTTTTATTTTTATTTTATTTGACTGGCTTGTTTTTTCTTTTTAAATAATTCATTTCTGAAGATCTGGCATTGCAACCATCTCCTGTGGGTGAGAATAAAAGGAGTTTGAAATGTACACTCTGTACATTAGGTCATGTTGTGTGCCTGTCTGTTATGTCAGAGACATTCATAAAGTTGCTTCTCAGTGAAGGAAGGTTTTTCTTTATCCAGGTCATGACTCATGTACTGTACAGACTGTAAAGCAAGTCTGGGATTTTTAGGCTTTATGAATAAACACCCGGTTCAGAAAAACGTAGCTCCTTCCAGAGAAAGCTGCAGTCAGATTTGTGGAAGTTAAGAGTTGAAGCCACTCATCTTCAGGCTTGACTCACCAGAATCACGCAGAACATGAGGGCAGCGTTGAGACTTTGCCATTGGAAATGCATTGCATCAGTGTTGAGGCGAGAGATCCAAAGGCAGGACCTTCCACAAATAACAGCAAACCTTTATTCATGCTGAAAAGTCTAACACAAAGTACAAAAAATCTACAGGCAGAAACCAACAAGTCCTCCCTGTAACAAAGACTAAGGGGAAGGACAGGGCTATATATTCAGATACAGTCAGGACGAACTGAGCAGAAGCAGGAAAGGAGACGTTACAAAATGTTTTGCAAAAAAGAAATGATGAAACCAGAAACATACAGATTTATTTTTTTTTAAACAGAAACCACTAGAGTGTATGAAATGTTTATTTAGCTCCACTAAAAGCAGGTGTCAGGGGGTTTGACGCTGGGGAAAATCTTGGACAGATGGACAGTAGTCAAAGAGCTAGACAAACTACTGGTTTCTTTGTCTTTTCTAGTACTTTGTGGTTTCTAGTGATATTTTGTCTTTTATTTGTGATATGAGGTGATCAGCAAGATTGAAAGAGGCGGTTTACATGACCTGCTGTGATGTGAGGTTTGCCGGGCAGGAGTCAAAGAGGAAGCCCACAGATGAGATTCATGGATGTAGTGAAGGAGGGCATGGGGTGAGGATGTTAGGGATAGGGTGAGATGGAGGCAGATGATCTGCGGTCATGACCTCTAAGGGAGCATCTGAAAAAAGAAGTTTCCTCTGTGTTTCACTGTCTCATCTTTTGTTAGCACCTGTTCCTCTGCCTCTGTGGCTGCTGTGAGCTTCTTGTCCCTGTGTTTAGCGTTGTTTCGTTTCCTGTGTCAGTTATGTTTCGTGCTATTTGGACCATGCTGATTGCTTTCACAGGTGTGTTATCCCTTTTCCCCCGTGTGTCTCATTTTCAGTATACTGCATGGTTTTTGTACACATTGTAAAACGAACTAAGCTGTTACGTTATTATAAGTGTCAAAATACAATATTGTTTAAATTCTAAAGCCTAAACCCCCCAGAAATCAGAGAAAGTAGCTTCATAGTATCTAAATCTAGTTTTCCAAGTTCAGTGTCACTAAACGGTCCAGCTAATGCTAAGTCCTGTGACCTGACATTGTACTGCAGAGATAACTTTTTTTGTTCTCAGCAGTTTTATGGGGCCCCTCAAGACAGATCAGAGTGGTTATAAGATCTTATAGAAGGTATATGTTATCTTGACAAGAGAAAAAATGATGACATCTTTGCATCAAATGTCCTCCATTATTTTATGAATCCTTTCATGTTGTTTTTTTCCTTGATGGGTTTCAAGCTGTTGGCGACCAGCATCATTAAACAGAAATCTGGACACCTGACACACAGGATTGGTTCATTCCACTTATTTACTATACCCTTAGGTGCAAAATAAGTTAGAGCAAACTGAAATGACCGTCAGACACCAGTTTCATTTTTAATTCAACTACCTCTTTTTTTAAAAACTCACTGCTAAACCAACACATGCACGTGTTCACCACAAATCATAAGCCGGAAAGGGAAGAGAAACCAAACCATGACACACTAGAAGCTAAACTACTTACTTTAAGGGTTTTGTTGCAAGCCAGAAGAACAACTATTATAATTGTATGAATTACTATTATTAGGGGGTGCCCTCTGGATCTGATTAGCTTAGATGAAACTTTAATGATCCCTGTGGGTAAACTGGCTGCATCACCACAAAGCGGGGCTTCGTGCTGGTTGAGGGTATGCACATGTATAAAGAGCTAATAAAATACAACACAAACACTAATCATAGGTAACAGCATGTGGAGATAAAAGAACACTGTGCGTTTGAAAACAGCAGAGTTGTTTGTTTATTCATTTATGCATTTAAATATGGTTTGTTTAGATGCTTTAAACATACTTAAAAGTACTTTTTTCCCCATTTTATCCTATTTAAATACTCTTATATCATATTTGCATTTATTTTTCTCCTTTGTTTGTAGCAACACAATCCAAATCTGTTCTTGCTAAGCTGTGAATAAATCCATTTAAATGGCCTTTAGGTGCAAATATATTGATCTTTTTTCCTAATTGACTTTGAATTAACTGTGTTTTCTTTTTTCCCCCCCAACAGGCCAACACAAAATCCACAATGTGAAAAACGAATTCAACTTCAAAACTGAGTAATGCATAAATGTATACTTATCATATAACAGTGAATGTACACAATGAATGTACTAAAAACAGGCGCAGGTTTACATTTAAAGAATCAGACTTGTTGTTTTTATTTCTATTGTCTGACTTATGCTTCAGTGAGAAGTCTATGTCGCTTCTATGTTTATTGTATTTATTATTAAGCAGTGTTTTTATCAAACGGGGAGCTATTTCTCCCATTTTCATTTGCAACGCTAAGCTAAACTAACCAGAAAAAGGGCTTCAGTACTGAATCATGAAATTCCCAACACAGCTGATGGTGTTTTCAACAAGCAAAACTAGTTTTAAACCAACTTTATAAGCACAAATTGAATTGTTATATATTGTGTGTTTAAATTGACTCTGCATAGCTAGCTATAATGCTAACTGTAAGCTGCATTTGTAACAACCACACAGTATATATACAGTCTATAGCAAAAACAAACTTTCAGACATGAGTTCTTACTGAAATACAGCTGTTTTAATATTCCTTGGAAAAAAAAAAATCACAAGCAAATATGATAATACATACAGCAAACATGCTAAAAATAGTGTATTAGCTAAACTACTTCCACCATTCACTCTGTGGGCTGTGATGTTCTGACACATCCAGGATGTAACCAGTATAACAATATGATACATTATAAATGTAGTTTTTTTTGGGCATGAAAAAACTTGGCTGGGCAAGTATAGTATCAAAATCATTTTCCCTGTTCCCTGACATCTGCGTAACCATTCATGTAGCGTAATAGTAACATACAAAAAGTAACCAGTTCCCCACTGCAGTACCATCCACACATTCTCTTCCTCTTATCCTTGTTAGGGTCGCGGGGGGCAGAGCCTATCCCAGCTGCCATAGGGCTACAAAATATGTCAGCATATGTTACATTTAGACTTTAAAAGTTTATATGTCACATTTATGGTGTTCTGTTACATTTTACAAAGTTGCAGAAAAATCTCTATGTGGTTTGGTTACTTTCCATGCACAGCACTGTAAAAGCCAGTAATGTTACAAAATTACCAAATTATGACCAAATGTAACACTGTTGTAAGAATCTGCTCTTGACCCCCCCCCCCCCCCCCCCCCCCCCCCCCCGCCTCCCCCCAAAAAAAAAAAAAAAAAAAAAAAGCTAAAAAAACCCAAACAAAAAACAATCTTTTTGTGTTCATAGAGATGAATTTCTTGGGGTTATTTTATTGGGGGGTGGGTGTTCGACATGAGCTTGTAACTGATAGATTTCAATTGCGCTTACATGCAAACATTCCTTGAGAGTTGTCCGTCATACTAGACATGATACAGTCAGCGGTTGCTAGGGAAGTGTGTGCCTTCTCCAACCGGTTAGCAGTGGTTCTTTGAGGTTTCTGGCTGTCACTGGGTGAAATTGATTGCAAAGATGTCACTGAAACCAAAAACCTCCCAGTGATTGTTTTGGTTGCTAGCAGATTTCCATGGTTACCTGTAATTTTTCATGTCAAGGATGACTCTCTAATACCAAGGTACAACGAGTTACAATAATCCAGCTCAGTTATAATAAAAGCATACATTACTGTTCTGAATTTATCTTTTGACAGGATGGGTTTTGACCAGTTGCCTCAGATGAAATAAGCTGGATTTCACTGCTGCTCTGACTTGACTGTCAAATCTAAAATCCCTATCCATTTTAAAACCCAAATTGGTGACAGTGGGCATACTGTGCTAGACTGTCCATGTCCACAGGAAAGGACTCACTGGTGACACCCAATAGAGCCATGGGGCAGGAGATATAGGGAGAAAACCAGAGGTCAGAATCAGAATACTTTATCAAACCCCAAGGAAATTATGGGGTTATAGTTGCTCCAAGACAATAAGAACAGTAGCAGATTGAACTAAATTACAAAATATAAGAAATAACGGTAATATATTAAACAAATAACACAATTATAAATATCCAGAAAATTACAGCGATTTAATATATATGATTGACATTTTACTCTAAACAGTAAAACTTTGTTATTTTCACCCTAGAGGATGTGTAACTATTACACTGTGTACTGTGCATTAGTTGGAAGTCCACATATTGATCAGCATAGGAGTGTTAGCATAACATGCAGTATATGACATTTATGTTGTACTATTTGGAAACCTTTTTCTGCAAGGCTTCCAAAAAGTCTCTGTGTGTCTGTTTATTTTACGACCACAGCAGTGTAACCAGTTGATAATGTTACAAACTTGTGACCAAATGTAACACTGAACTAGCAGCTCACTCTTACCACAAAACTTAAAATGACAGCAAGACTTTGTAACTGATATATTTCAGTAGAAAGTATAATTCATGTCTGCATCATGTATCCAAACCAAGAAAATGTGAAAAAAACAAGGAACCAGAGCTTTAAAAGTACTATTGTGTTAAACATTATATTTTAACCCAAACACTGATTCTTTTCTAAACCTAACCAAATAGGTTTAATAGGCAAAGGTAAGAAAGTTGGTTATATAAGTAAGTTAAAAACAGTTATGTGCTAAATCTCAGCAGTTTTAATGGCTAAAATTTAAAAATGGATAGTTTTTTCACTTAATAATAGATTTAAAAATTAAATGAGTGTGAAAGTCTGTGACATGCAGTATTCAAAGTTAGGTCTCTAGTGTGCACAGCCAATTGGCTTGCTCCGCTACCTATCCCTCCAACCTACAAAATTTGTGCAAGTGAAAAAAAAGTATAATTTTGTTCACATGGATACAAATCAGATTTGGGCCAAACCAGAAAAGTGCTGTTAATTCACAAATAAGTCCAAAACAAAGAATTCTATTGGCTCTTTAACAGCAACTGTACCACAAATCGTGAAGGTTCTTTTAAAGCAGCAGCAGCTGGCTTTTCCACAGACAGATGGAAAATCATGTTCAGTGGAAAGTTCATGTCCAAAAGCAGGAATTAAAAGTTGTGACTTCATGAACTACCATCAGACTGTGTTGGGCATTTTGTGTTTTGAGTTTCATTTATAATTTCTAGTTCTTTATGTTATTTACTCAGCTTTTTCTCTGTTGCCACATTTCAGTCCGTACAAGTCATCCCATATACATTATTAATATTAATATTATTATTATCATAATCAATATTCATTTAAACAAATGATGCATTTAAACATTTATGTTTCCCCATATTTTCCATATACTCCATATATATATATTTAAGGAACCATGTAGCTTAAACATGTCTGTTGTACCAAAGTAAGCTCTGCAGACCTTACACTGTGTGCTCACATCCAGATTCAGACATTGCAGACTTTACATTCTTTAACGTAGATTTTTTCACTTGACATTTTCTCTTGTCTGCAAATTTGCAGGAGCAACAAATACCAGCAGAGAAACATTGAAACGGGCACTCCACCTCTACCTCCGCGGACACAGTTTCTCTTGGCAGGCAAGACTTTATTATATTTCTCAGTGGCTCCTACAGATTGCCCCTCCTCTTATGAAACCATGCTTCCTTCTCTCACTTTCAGATCTTTGAAATTAAAGCCTCATCCAGTCTGCCATTTGACCATAAACCACAAACTAAAGGGCAGCGCGTGTTCACCAGTTTACATGGCAGTGACAGTTTTATGCACAAGATTCAGATCCAAGACAGCACCACATATTCTGATCCAAGCTAAGGTTTCAAACTTACTAAGAAGTGTTTATGATGTCTGTTTTGTCAAGGATTTGGGCCAAACAAGGAAAGTGCTCCTTATTTTACAAGTCAGACAAAAACGAAGAATATTTTTGGCTTGATGTAATTGTAACTGTACCACAAACTGTGGAAGGATACACAGCAGTCTGCTCCTTCTCATTTTTAAATTCTGTCTTATTAAAAGTAGAATAGGAGTCAGAGCCTTCACCTTTAAGACCTCAGCTCCCAGTTTGGATTTGAGAGACGCTACCTTTAAGATAAGGGTTAAAGCGTTGTTTTTTGATAAAGGGTTCGATCAGGGACCATCTTTACCTTCTTGATAACCCTTTCAGGCGGCTGTTGCTGTGAAATTGAACTGAGCTGAATTGAATAACAGAAAACATTTATGAGTTTTAAAAATGTAAAGTCAAACTGGTGAATTTCACAAAACAAGTAGTAACCTCAAGATGTTTAGCCCAGCCAGCAGCTGACAAACATCAATAATATGGCAAGCTCAGGCAAGGAAGAGAGAAAAACTTCTATATTTTGACTTGCTATGCCTGCCTTAGCTGTAATGCTAAGCTACAGGAAGCACAGCTGTTTATTAAGAATGCCCCTTCACCCACAACAGCAGCAAGAGGTGGTGCACAGAAACAGCCGTCTTAATCACAGTGCTCCGCTAACCACATAAAACACAGAACACATACAGCTGCAGTAATGTTATACACTAACACAAAAATGGCTAATCAACACCGGATAACTGTAACTGCCGTATAGCACTAAAGCCTAGAACACATAAACATCACGTATACAGTCCCATAAGTCATCGGGTCATTTATGTGACATCAGCAGTTTACAAGTAGTAATATTAAAGTATTACTAGTATTAAAGTATTAACAAGAATTGCACTTAAGAAAAAAACTGAGGGGTCAACAGAAAGTTTTCTCTTTAAACAAGCTGAGAAAGTTGATTCTGTTGATCTGAATGCAGCGTTTTCAGCAGAAGAGTGACTTCTTCAGTCTTGGCTAACTGCAGGTTTCCCCAACCTTATAAAAATTTTCATAACGAACAAAACTAGCACCTTTGACTAACGATGGGCTGTGAGGTCGGTTTCATTATGATTGGTATGCAGTGGCGGTCCTAGCCTGTTTGGTGCCCCGGGCGAACACTCCCCTTGTTATTGATCCCTTTACCCCGAGTCCTAAAGTGTATATTTATTTTCTTACTCTTCTTATATTTATTGTTTATTTTCTTGCACTGCTGTAACTGGAGCCTCGTCGTCTCGTCTCTCTATATGCTGGACTGTATGTAGTGGAGATGACAATAAAGTTTACTTTGACTTCAGCAGCGAGCAGGCGCACCGAGGGCTCTCACGCTCACTTTTCGCATATAGAATTTCGAAAATACATCGGTGCAAATTATAAGTCTGTATCATAATGTCTGGTGTTTTCATGTTTGTTGTATGTTTTTATTTTATTTTATTTTGCGAGTTGGTTATTAGATGCTCACGGTGGCACGGTGTTTAGCACTGTTGCCGCACAGCAAGAAGGTCCTGAGTTCAATTCCACCATCAGGCCGGGGTCTTTCTGTGTGGAGTTTGCGTGGGTTTCCTCCGGGTACTCCGGCTTCCTCCCACCGTCCAAAGACATGCAGCTTGGGGATAGGTTAATTGGATAAATTACCACTAGATGTGAATGTGTGTGCGAATGGTTGTCTGTCCCTGTGTGTTGGCCCTGCGACAGACTGGCGACCTGTCGAGGGTGTACCCCGCCTCTCGCCCTATGACAGCTGGGATAGGCAATTTTGGGTTTTTTTGCCGATGCCCGTGATGCCGCCCTCCACCACAATGCCGCCCCGGGAAACCGCCCGTGTCGCCCGTATCAAAAACCGCTACTGTTGGTATGCCAGTCGTCATTACCGTTGCTCATGACTTGCTCATCATTGGTCATCAGTACCAGTCACAGAGAGTTAGGGAATGACTGCAATCACAGCAGTGTAGGATGGTGAAAGATGAACCCTTCTGTTTTTCTGGTTGCTAAGTCTGTGAAGATGATGTTGTAACATCCTGATGAAGTCTGTGAAGATGATGTTGTAACATCCTGATGACACGCAGTTTGTCCTCCAGTAGATGATGAGACTCAAACTTTAAATACTGATCAGTATTGTTGGTTTATGGTACACACAGACTTTCAAATGTCCCCCATTGCTGATGGAAAGATCACCATCTAAGAAAACTAGCCTGTCATTTTTTTTGCTCTGCCCTGGAGAACTTGATATGTTTGTCCACCAAGTTAATGAAATCAGTGAATCCTGATATGTGCTGAGGTTTGGTTTCCAGCCAGGTGTTGTCCACATACCTGAACTAATGGCTCAGTGGTGTTCCAGGAAAGAATAACAGAGCCCTATTTTCTACTTTTTCCATTTACAAGTTAGCTACACTGAGCGAAACTAAGGAATCCATGGTGCACCCATGTTCCTGCCCATAGTACTGGGATTGAAGATGCTGCGTTCAGATGAACAGAATCAACTTAGTGGAGCTTCCTTACCTTGATGATAAAGCATTCATCGTGACAGACTTTACTAGCTTAGTTAATGTTTTATGCAAGCTTGTTTCCACCACTGAAAAAGTCCTTTTTTGGCATTAGCAAGTCAGAAGTTGAGGTTATTTTGTTTAGTGAGCCTAAATTTCAAGATTAAAACCCAAAAATCTATGTTATGTTCTGTTTTGTTTTTTCCAGTGGTGGAAACAAGCTTCCATAAGGAGTCGATGGAAACTCATAGTTTTGGTTTTTAGCCACAAAACCAAACAAACTAGTCAAACATTTTGCTGAGGCTGTCAGTAACTTTGCCCAGCTTTGTTCATATTCAACCAGAAGGGCTTCACTAAATAAAACCATAGGTAGTAGATAAGATGGATGTAGTCACTCTGGCAGTTATTGGTTGATAAAGGAGTGTTGAAATTGGATTTTATGTATGATCTGATATCTTTGTGTTAGTGGTTTTCCTGCATTATTATAATAAATGTTGGTCCCGAATCAACACTGCCATAGACTGGTCAACTGTTTGGAGAACTCAGTTTGCATTAACCAAGAAGTTAGCTAATGCAATTGAAAGGTATCACGAGCAAGCTAACAGCAAGCTAACAGCAAGCTAAACTTTGTAATATATTCATTATAATGCATAAATGAATAAAAATAACACCTGAAATCCTTACTGTTTGCTCCAGAAGAAAGGTCTATGTAGGCAACAATTTATTTATTTTTTATTATTAAAACAACAACATTTTCCCTACTTTACAAAGCTTTGACATCATGATTGGTCGATTGGATTGTTGATCCTAGACTAATATTAATAATGATTATGCAGGGACAACAGCGCCTGGATATCTGATCTGATTCTGGAACGGTACATGTGTGATTGTTAGCCACTGAGCACATCTTGAATAATCCCTTCTTCTTACTCGTAAGCCTCAGTTATACTGTCCATGTTTGCAAGTCCCAGCGTCCAAGGACCTTTGGAGTTTCCTGCTTTAAACCTTCTTTATCAAATTATCAAAATGCTTTCAAAAGTGTCTCACTTGCCAGCATGAGAGATAAGAAAGCCTCATTACATTAAACCCACGTAGCTTCCTCAGTGAGTTTTTAATATGTCCAAAAGTAGTCTTGTATTTTGGTTTATTTGCTCATATTCTTGATGTGCTTTTGAAATCTAAGACTGTGATCCGAGATAACCCCTGAATATTCAACTACGTGGTCATTTTGTTTGTTTGTTTTACATTCAACATAAATATTTGCCTTCATAGCAACACTGTAAGTTTTCTAAATATTCAATCTGAGGCATGAACTCTTCTTCCCATATGCATAGTACAAAATAAACATATCTTAAATATCATATTATCCAACCAGAGCACTTTACTCTCAGACTGCAGTGATACTTTTGGTTACTCAAGTCTTTAAAAATAGAATGGGAGTCAAAGTCCTGAGCTATCAGGCCCCTCTCCTGTGGATGCAGCTCCCTGCTTGGCTTAAAACTTTCCTTTTTGATAAAGTTTACAGTTAGAGCTGAATCAGGTGTCCCTAAACCATCCCTTAGTCGTCACTCACACAGGCCTGGAGACCAGTTGGCATCCTCTGGTTGCTAGGGGAAAATACGTATTTCCTCATTGGAGGTTGGTTGCTGAAAGTTGTAGCTATATTTACTGCAGCAATAAATAATTTTACCTTGAAGGCTAATAGTCTTTGTTTTCAGTATTTATTGTGCTTTTCAACATTTTACTACTGTTTGGTGAGGAGTTTGTGCGTATTTGCATGCAGGTCTTCCATGCAACTGTGGTAGCCTGCTGGTGGGAGGTTTCCAATGCACCACTGTATAACTCTTTGCAAATAATTCCACTTAGCATCTTCCAGAAACTACTCATCAGCTGGTTTGGTAACATACTTTTCCCCCTTGTGACCTCTAGTTTCCAATGAGTCACTGACCAGTCCAGTCTAGGCCGGCATGACTAGGGCTGTAGCTAACAATTTTACAGCGACTGTCACCAACCTCCATCAACCACCCAGCAATCACTGAGGAATAGCATATTTTTCCCAGTGTGACTGGGGCCTTAGGTATAACCTCAGGTTGCTGGGAGATGTGCAACAATGCACTGACCATCTCTTCTCCACCCCGTTGTGTTTCTTCTGCCATCACTGCAGGGTAACTTTTATTCTTTTTCTTTCCTTGTTTTTGGTCTCTCTGTGCTCTTCTTTTCTGTCTTCTCTTTCCCCCAATCTTCTACTGACCAGCTACCTATATGCACTGCAGCAATAAAATTAACCTTAAATATGGAATTTGCTGTTTCAGAAGCCCAAAGCTACGAGAACCTGGCTGAGGAGAGCCAGAGCATCCACGACTACGAGGATGGCAACTGTGAGCAGAATGTAAGCAACCACGAGGAAAGCATCCACGACTACGAGGATGGCAACTGTGAGGAGAATGTAAGCAACCACGAGGAAAGCATTCATGACTACGAGGAGAGCACAGAACTCCAGGCTGACTACATCAAGATGGAGGGAGACATAATGTTTCCTCCTCCTCCAATCTTCAACAGCATGAGCGGTAGTGTTTTGGAGGCCCAAAGCTACGAGAACCTGGCTGAGGAGAGCCAGAGCATCCACGACTACGAGGATGGCAACTGTGAGCAGAATGTAAGCAACCACGAGGAAAGCATCCACGACTACGAGGATGGCAACTGTGAGGAGAATGTAAGCAACCACGAGGAAAGCATTCATGACTACGAGGAGAGCACAGAACTCCAGGCTGACTACATCAAGATGGAGGGAGACATAATGTTTCCTCCTCCTCCAGTCGTCAACAGCATGAGCGGTAGTGTTTTGGAGGCCCAAAGCTACGAGAACCTGGCTGAGGAGAACGACTATGTGGAGAGCGTGGACAATCAACTGGACTATGTGAAGATGGACGAGGAAGATCAAGCAGGAGACAACACCTCCACGGAAGACTATGATGACATCGGGGGTGAAGAAGAGGATGAGGAGGACTATGATGATGTGGGATAAAACCCGACACAACGAGGTGGAGACAGTTTTGAATTCTGCTGAGCAGAGATTATCCTTACTGAAGATTTCTCTTGTCTTTTTGTATTTTTTTAATAACATTCATTGAAAAAAAGAAAATAATTGAAGTACTGAAGACACTGAAATCTGCCGAGTGGTGTCGAGACAACTGGTTTGATCTTTAAGACGGTGATTCTTTTTAATATATCGAAAAAATTCTGTTTTTCATCTGAATGTTGGAATCGTTTGTTTTTTTACTGAATACATTAACAAGCAGAGACTTGCACAGGGTCCCAGATTAGGATGATATCTGGATTTGCAAACTACACATGAAAGCAATCAAACTATATTTCTTTGTCTTCTTCTGACTTAAATGTCAGAAGAAACTCTTTAGTTTTAAACATGAAGCTTTTGCATATATCATGTGTAGATCATTCCCATGCTTTTTGAGAAGGAACAGACTATGTTGCTGGAGGCTTTCGTTATGCTCAGTTTGGCGAGATTTGGTACTTTTTTAATGAGCTGAATCAACTAGATCAACAGTGTAAGTAAGGTTTTTGCTGTATGAAACACAAAAAACTATTGGAGCTTCAAATTTGATTCAAACTAAACATAAGACATGAAATCTGAAAGTCTGTAACTGCAACAGCCTGAGATGTTTTTCTTTCTTTATGTGTTTGTTGATTTATTTATACACATGAACATTGATATAAGATTAATATGTAAAGCATTTCAGTCGGGGTCAGGTCTGCACTTTAATTCTTTTCTTTTATTCACCATGATGTTGTAGATTTACTGCTGTGTTTGGGATCATTGTTCTGCTGAGTCAGCGAATTTGGGCCACGCTTTAACTGCTGGACAGATGGCCTCACATTTGACTCTAGAATACTTTGGAAAATACTTTGGCACACAGAGGAGTTCATGGGAGACTGAAAGGTGTCCTGTGACTGTGAAACAAGCCCAAATCATCATCCCTCCACCACCGTGCTTCACAGTTACTATAGTGTGTTGGTTTTTGCCAGATGTACTTTTGCAAAATGTCCTTACATTTGCAAGGACATTGTTCTTGAAACTTTGTAACCCTAATCCATGCCACCATGTTTATTTTAGACAGAAGAGACTTTCTTCTGGCAACTTTTTGAACAAACCATACTTGTTCAGTCTTTTTCAAACTGTAGGCAAGGCAAGGCAAGTTTATTTATATAACACAATTCAACAGCAAGGTGATTCAAAGTGCTTTACAGAGACATTAAAAAACAAAAACAAATAAAAAGCATGATTTAAAATGAGAAAAAAAGGAACAGTAGATAAAATCAGTAGTTAATGTAAGTTTTGAAATTTAAGCTTAAAAGTGTGGATTTGGTGCTTTATTCAAATGCAGCTGAGAACAGGTGAGTCTTCAACCTGGATTTAAATAAACTGAGTGTTTCAGCTGATCTGAGGCTTTCTGGGAGTTTGTTCCAGATATAAGGAGCATAAAAGCTGAATGCAGCTTCTCCATGTTTGGTTCTGACTCTGGGAACTGATAAAAAAACAGGATCCAGATGACCTGAGGGATCTGGAAGGTTCATACTGGGTCAGGAGGTCACTGATGTATTTTGGTCCTAAACCATTCAGAGCTTTATAGACCAGCATCAGAACTTTAAAGTCTATCCTCTGACGGACAGGCAGCCAGTGTAAAGACCTCAGAGCTGGACTGATGTGGTCCACTTTTTTGGTCTTAGTGAGGACTCGAGCAGCAGAGTTCTGAATGAGCTGTAGTTGTCTGACTGATTTTTTAGGTAGACCTGTAAATATGCTGTTACAGTACTGTACTGTCATGAACTTCAACATTTAACATGCTATCTGTCGCCCGAGATCTGGCACTGGGTTTTTGCGGTTTCATTGAGCATTGCACCGTGTGACCCTGGCTGAATTTCCTGGGACGTTTACTTCTGGGAATATCATGGCGTTATGTTAACACATATCTAAATGCTCCAGATCAACAAACTGCCAAATCATCTGCTTTTGTAGAGGTGCTCACTCTCTTGGCTGTCTATTAACTGGAGTTTCCCCTGATACATCCAATGGGATGTGAGTGTGTGAATGTTAGACAAGGTGTTTGGGTACAGAAAAAGCATGTGTGTGATTGGGTGAATGAGGTAGCAAAAAAAGCACTTTGAGTGCCCAGTTACAGTAGAAACGTGCTGTATAACTCCATTTACCATTTGATTCATGTGGAAGCAGTAAAGATTTACTCAGTATCTCACAGGACTGCTTAGAGTCCCACATGACTGTGTAATACCTACTCATATTTAAGCTGTATGTCAGCAGGAACCAGGGTTATAACCTTATGTGTATTTATATGAGATGATGATGAGATGAGATAGCCTTTATTTGTCAGTAGCAGGTCTTTTGCCCACAACCGAGATGACAGACCTTGCCGACCATACATACAATACAAACATCACATTGGGGAGACAGGTCAGGCCAGGTAGCGAGGAAAAAAAACATTGAAATGTGCAACACAAAAGGATAATACAGGAATGCACAGGTATCAACACACCATAACACAATAAACACAGACAAGCAACATGGGAAAGAGTTCCAGTGTGTACATCTGATCTGGGACCGCTACAATCTTTCGACTGCGCCTCCAGCTGACCCGATGTCCACATCATGTCCACACCTAACCCCCGATGTCACATATTTTGGGTGACTCATCACAGATTAGGAAGTTACCAGCTTCTTTACCTGTGCAGGTGGCAAGAGGTGCAGGTGAGGCTGGAGAGACATGAGAAACAATGAGAGGAGGTGGTAGATTGCTCTGAGGTTGCCTTTTGTCTTTAATTCATTGTCATTTGTTAATAAGATTTTTGTTAATAAATGTCACTTCTTTGCACACATTCCTGCCTCGAGAACTGCTTCATAAACACTCCTTTAAAAACTTTGTGGTCTCAAACACCTTCTGCGTGGGGTCTGGTCTGTCAAGGCCTATTATGAAATCTCAGGTGTTTTTGACTTTGTAATCTTGCTGTTTTGAAACTGGATGTGACGACCGAGCAAGCTGTGGCTCTAACTTTTAAACTGAACCCTCACTGACTAACAAACCTGTCAGCCAATGCCCTAAGTAATCCTCCTTTCTAAAACTTAGAATGACTAAAATGTACAAAATGGACTCAATGTTATATCCGATATGATCTGTAATGACTGAGCCTTTTCGGTGAGTAGTATTGTGGGTAATTGTCTATATAACAGAAAAGCCTTTCTCTGTTATAATTTGATCATTTTGTCACTTTAGAGTCATGTAACATACTAAAATACTTCACGATTTATCGTTCTATGATAATATTACCATTTGTTTTATTATGCTCTGTATATTTCTTATAACCAACAAATATATGGCAATCTAATAGTGACTGAATATGTTTCCCTAAAAGTTTGTAATTGTCTATTTATAGCCTGATTTTTATCATTATTTTGTGCTACGAAGCTTCAGTTTTATCAAAAAAAAAAACTATTTAAAATAACCAAAATGGTAAGCCACACTGTTGCACACACGCTGTGGTTTGCTGCTTTAAATACTCACTTGAACATGAAATAAATACATTTGAAGACCAAAAAAAAAAAAAAAAACCCAAAACCCTGTAAAGAAGTTTTGATGAAAAAAAGATGACAATACTGAGCTATTGTTGGTTTAGAGTTATACAGCACAGGGAAACAGCAGCAGTGGTGGCATTTTAACTGGCATCAACAAAATAAAAGTAACAGACACATGATCAACGTCAAAGTGAAACTGTTAGTTTAATTAGAGTTACTTTTACAGATAGTGTCATACTGTGCATGCTGGTTCCCTTTAACCCAGACTTTTGGATAACTAATGCCTGCTGATTACTGGAGAAAGTCTGTAGACATTCTGGTGTATGCCTCTCCTCCTGTAGCCACACTGCCCCCTGTGGGGAGGTTTGCCTTAGCACCTAATTGACTGTAAATATAATTTCCTTACAAGCCAAAAAGATATAGGGCTGAGGGAAGTAACATAAAACTAGATGTGGGAACACGAGGAGGCTGTTTGGGTCTGTTTGAAAAGCTTTATTGCCAAGATTTTTAAGTTTTTCAAAGTCATTCAGAGGAATGACCTTGAAAAACTTATTCATGCATTTATCACCACTAGACTGGACTACTGCAACTCTCTCTACTTGGGCCTCAGCCACTCTTCTCTCTGTCATTCGCAGCTGCTGCACACCTTTTAACTGGTACTAGAATGTATGATCACATCACTCCAGTTTTAGCTAACTTGCATCGGCTCCCTGTCAAATATCACATTGATTTTAAAATCCTCTTTCTTGCTTTTAAAATTTTAAACTTGGCACCTAGCTATCTAACTGAACTCCTCTATTTGTATAACCCCAAAAAAGCACTAAGATCTTCTAGTCGTGGTCTCGGCTGAAGTCCAGAGGTGATCGTGCCTTTGCAAATGCAGACTCTGGAATAACCTTCCTGTTGATATTTGTACTACCGAGTCTATTCAGTCTTTTAAATCACGTCTTAAAACTCACTTTTTAACTTTGACTTTTGAATAAAACTGGTTTGACTATCATCCGGCTTGTTTTTTTATGTTTGTTACCTGTGTTGTTTGTTGGTCTGTTTTGTTTGTTAATGGTTTGTTTTATCTTTTCATTCTCTTTTTGGCTGATTGTGAAGCACTTTGGTCAACACTGTTGTTTTTAAAATGTGCTATAGAAATACATTTTGATTTGATTTGTGTTAGGGTGCCTGGGTCGTCGACCCAGTGTTCTGTGCTTTTGGTTCTTTGATTATGTTTATTTCATTATATTCTAGCTTTCTTTGTCTTATGGGTTATTGGATTATTCTAAGTGTAGGTTGTCTGTGTGGGTTTTGTTAGACTTTTAGTCTTCTGGTTTTCTGTCTGTGATCCATAGTTGCTGTCTCCCCTGTCTGATGTCTCCCTGTGTCAAGTCGGCGTCATGTTTCCTGTTTTACTTTGAAGGTCTGTGTCTTATGTCTCTGGTTTTGCTTCCTTGGTCTCGTCAGCCCTGATTTATCCCAGCTGTGTTTCCCTCCTGTCTCTCATTCCCTGATTGCTCCCTCTGTATATTTAAGCCCTGTGTTTTCCTTTGTCTGTGTTGGGATTGCCATCACCCTATGCTGTGTGGTCTGTCCAGCTGCCTGCCAGTTTCTTATCTGTATTTTCAGTTTGTTTAGTTTTCTGTTCGGCCTCTCATCCAGCAATAAAGCTGAGTTTGAGTTCACGTATGCCTCCTGGAGTCTGCACATTGGGTCCTCCATTTCACCTCATTTCACATAACAACCGATTAACAGAAAG